CTACATCTAATTGCCTTATTGTTGTGGATTTTGTGGGTGTGAATCTGTGAATTATGTTCAATCCAATTTAAACAGTATTTTCAATCTGAAGAGCACACACCGTTCTCGACCATGTTCTGAACAAAGTCATAAATCCTCGACCTGGTAACTAGTTTCCTAACAATAATGGCGCAGTTTAATCTACGGCGATGCAGACATGATTATGCATGCCGGTAGAACAGCGTGCATTAGACCCGTCCCCTTCAGACCCTCTGCGATAGAGTTACGGGCACTTGAGCACGGCAGGTTTCTATACTTTAAAAGTTTCTATGAAAAGGTGCTTTTAACCCTTCCACCTAAGTTACGGACAAACAGGCACGCCTATGTTAGGTCATCAAGCTACTCAGGACCTGCCAGAGAAGCTTGAAAAACCTAATTTTGTATTTTGAATAGTGTAGTAGAGCGATTTTAATATCAAATTCCCTCGCTTAATAAGCGTTAAAACATGAGCATTTACTTTTGGTTTTAATTGGTACTACAAGGTGATTGAGAAAACGGGAATCTGTTATTATTTATTTATTTAACTAGTTTTTGTTATTTCTTACATATTTTTGGTCAATGCATTACAACTCTAGCTCTGTATAAAGTTTTAAAGCAATTCAGCCCACGAAATCGAAACTTGTAAAACAGATGTCAATAAATATGCATTGAAACAGGCCAACCGTGATTATGGAACATCGAAGAGGACGGTCGTTTACCTAAGCTAGTCACAATAAGTACCTATTTAATGTAGATAATACAATACGAATACACTGTAGACACCCACCAAACAACAGACAGCGATAATAAAATTCTCTACAAGGACCGGCGGACGGGGATTTGGAATTATAAATGTCTTAGAAATACATGGAGCAAAACAAATTAGGGGAAACCAATTGCAGTAAGTTATTGTTTAAAACATAAAAGGAGTTAACATCTTTTAAAAGTCTCTTTGTTCGAACGGAACTATTTTAAAGACAAAAGTTGTGAAGTTGATAAAACTTCTCCGTCCATTTCGTCTCTTTCAATTGGGTAATCGGAAAGTTGACTGTTATTCTTACCAGGATTGTACAACGCATATATTTTCATCTTAAGAATAATCTTGTAAAGAAATATACATATATTGAACATAGACTGAGACAGTAAGTGTGTCATCAACTCCGCTTTCTCATTTCCTTTATGACTTGACTATTGAAGATGGTAATGTGTATGCGTAGTCTATGAAGCGCAATTATCTTAACAAACCTATTTTCTTGTTGAGAAACCTTATCAATCCATTAATCTGAATTCTTTTATGGATTTACTCTTATTTCTTTATTAACTAGAGCACTTATGATTTTATTTTAGTTAGTAAGTTTGCGAAGGCGGACGCATTCATTCGAACTAATTCGTGTGCCTATCGAACAGTAAAATAACATGTGGTGGTTCCTTGATCAGATGTGATAAAGCGAAAGTACCTGCCTGTGTTTACCCGTCGTGCTCGTAGTAGGCACATTTTGTACTGAACTTTCTCTTTAAATGAGTGTGGGTGTACTTTTACACACAAAAATTGTGTATGATCGATTGTTGTAAAATACAATGCACTATAGATATGAACTTACTTCTCGTTATGTTTCCGCGTTTTAATGTTTTAAGATAGATGAATGGATATTAATCAATAACAACTCTATTGATCAAGTAGTAAACCTACAGTTTTTGAGATGTCCTTAATACGAGACGAAATTATTGGGTAGGTAATGTTGAGTCAATTCCTGAAGTCAACACTACGCAAAACATAATTACATATATTTTTATAGTATAATGCTACATGAGTGTATAACTGGTTAGATAATTAATTAGTATGAAAGTCACAGTCAAGAATGAGTAACCGTCCGCAATGCAACGTAATACTTATAAAAAAGTAATGGGAAGCAAGATGTGTTTGCTTACGATTTTGTGACCTAGTCACGAACAGGTTCGCTTTTAATATTGTTTTATATCAACAATAAAACTTGCTGGAATCAGTTGAAGTCAATGGTCCTACATTATTTGCCTCGAAATATACTTTCCGTGTCGCAGTTCCTTCGCAATAAATGTAGAAGATAAAAGTTGTACCCGTGCCAAAGTTGAACTTACACCTGCTGCTTGCCAGCGACTTTTGTGCTGTATATCCGTACAATCTAAGCAATAAACATAATTATTTTCTTAATTTAACTCGCGGTTAGGCGTGTTTGAAAATTAGGCCTTTTAGGGTTTTCAGGCAGGCAGGTTCAAACAAAGTAAAATGGCTTCATCCATGAGTTGTGACGTAATGGAGCGTGAGAGGCACCCAACATGTTAATGTGTTAATTTGAAACACGATGTGTTTACAAACAACCTTCTGGATAAACGCACATGCTTAAAGATCACTGTTCATGTTTTGGTTATCCGATACAGTAAACAGGAACCTAATAATTGGGCGTTGCTATGATAAAATGTTTCAAACTTCCTAACAAAGTTTTTGATAAACTAAACAATTTACGTAGCAAATATAAAACTCTTAACCACCATATAATTCAGATATTTTGAGGCAAAATTATCTAGAGAAATCATACTTAGCGTATTCAGCGTTCAAAGTACCAATTTTATTATTATAGCTAACGGCGTAGTTTTCGTCTACCGGCTTTAGAGGCGATTTATACTTAATTTTAAAAGTATAACAAATAAGTAGTTCCAATAATGTTTGGGTTTCATGCCTCATGCCTTCGAAAATTTGAATAGGCTGATCTCTCTCAGGACTGATTTACTTACTGCAGCTAAGATTTCTAACCAGTCCTTTTTAATTTAAAATGACTTGTCTATTTAATGGCTAATAACATTTATACTTATTGCTATTAGTATTCAAATAAAACAATTACGACTAGAGAATAGGTACCTACAATTATAAGTATTACTTAAATGTAAAAATAATGTTAAAGAGACGTCCGCAAGTGACGCATGCTATAGCGGTTACTAGTAACAAAGCATATGATTTAAGTAATAACACAGATGAATCACTCTACCATCATTTTGCTGAAAACCTACGCATTGTGCTAAAGCAATCACTGTTCTGCCACTTCCATCAACTATACAGATGCGTCTAAATGACGTTTTAATTACACGACCTATTTTGAACAGCTGTTTATTGCGTACTTAATTTTGGGAATGTCACACTTGTGTAACTGTTTATCACAAACAAAGTGTTACCGACGGTATACAATCGAAAGGAAAATAAATAACTAGGTAATGAGGTATAAAACATGATTATAAATTCTACCTTATATAGAACAACTTGTGTTATAAAAAGTATACGATACAAGATACATTCATACCATAGTGAAAAAACCCGATTCATACATACTAAGTACTAACTACTCGTAAGTACTCGTATAAGCAAGACTGACTGTAAAGCGATGTGACCCATTTAAAGAAATCCTCTGCGGAGCATAAAGCGTAGAGCCGTGTAGAGGTGATAGTTCGATCTGTTAGAAGACAGAACAAAGGAGGCGTTGTCTATGAACAACTGCACGTACCTTTACTAGCCACGACGGTTACATTGTTCGTGTACACTAACCGTTTTAGTAAAATAGTTAATAGGATTATCTCCCTTGCCCCCTATTTAAATAGACCCAACGCAATTATGTGTAAGGCGGATTATGCCTGTAAAAGGTCGTTTAGCTTCCTTCAATGGGTGACTTTTATGGATTGCTACCCATGTTTTACTTGTTACTACTATTATAAAATTCTTATTCTCAAATTACTCTGCGATCTTAGCGAATTTAAGCGAAGGAAGTAGGTTACTTAAATACTTGCAGGTGTGTGCAGAATGTTGTATGCATGAGATCTAAAAATAGCTGTCGTGATATGTTAAAGCAGGCCTGAAGGCTTTTAGATGTTATCTTATTCGTATTAAAATGCAGGTTCCAAGCATTGTTACTATGTAACGCTGTAGGAAAGAAAGACGTGGCGTCTTCGTGACGTAATCCGAATGGAAATTGCTGTATTATAATTGTGACGATGCATTTTAGGGCTATTATTATTTATTATTATAGTAATAGTGATTACATGATTTAGGTTTGTTTTGTGCCTCTGATGACCATGGTTTACGCAACTTTTCATGCGTCGTTGGTCACGAGCAAGAAAGCGAATATTCTTATTGTTCTATTATCTCATACTTATCATCTGATGTTTGGACAAATGCGGATTATGTAAGTTCAGTATTGTTATGGACGTTTACGTTGACGTCTTTGTAAAACTGTGCCATAATCCGTGAAATTAAATTTAAAAAAAGCATTGTTATCACAATATAAGAAAGTTTGTAACTTATTCGGAAAGGTTTTTTTACCTTATGTGTATGTATTCGTATTTAAACACAGATAAAGACAGTTATTTCGCACAGGAGCACCGTTGCATGACGTTGCAATATCGTAAGCATCACTCGACTCAATTTCCCCTTGCCCAGTAGCCAGGTGTTATGATCTAATTTAAATAACTGACACCGATAACACGTGTAATGTATCCTACCGTGACTAATTAACTACAAACTCCTAAAGTATTGTTTATAAATTACAAATACCATTTATTATATCGTAGAAGCAATTGTGATATAAAAGGAAATTAAAGGTCATTGACTCTAAATTAGATGTATCGTTAATCAAGTCGACTGCAAAAGAACACTTGAGTCCTATCGAAGTAAAGGTGCAGTGAATCGTTGCGCGTTTTATTTTGGTATGGGCCGATTGCTTAATTCAGGGGGACCATTGATTAATCGCCGGCTGGGGCGACAGATGTTCGCTGTGCTCCCAAACCGAGTTGAATGGCTCGTGGCTCCTATTGTAAACGAGTCTTTATGCCGTCGACAGCTTGTCCCCGTAAAAAAGTTTTGAGCAAATCTACTGTTGCCAACGTAACAGACTATTCTCTGCATACAAATATTTGGCTGCTAAATGGACGACCGTTGTAATTTTTTCCCTTTCTTGTTTCAGACGTTGGATTTCGACCGAGATGGCCTAACGAAGTTGAAAAAGGCGATAAAAGCAATACATAATTCTGGAAATGGTGAGTATTTGATAAAAATGAGAACATTTGTTTCCAAAAGCAATATTGAATGCATCACGCCTGGCCAGTTTAATAGGTTGCCAAAGTGATAAGAATTTAAATGTTTCTAGCTTTACGAGCTGGTTAAAAGTTCCTCCATGTTTTATTAGGGCAAAAGAGAAGATAATAATGTTCTCTTTTAGTGCGGAACAGACGGTAACCGGACAATATACTTTCCGAAGAGTTTATTTGTATTCCCATCTGTAGTGGCACGTTTTACAGGCGACACGGAACGAGACTTGATTAAAAATAGAAATAGAGGAAGTATACGGTATGAATAGCAGACTGGAATAGACGAGATATTCGATGCATGTTGGGTAACTTTAAAAATAAAATCCATTTTGTTACTTTTACTTTCGAATGAAACTCTATAGCATTAAACTTGGTCGGAAGCTAATGTTTATAAAGAACACAGATAAGCTGATGATGAATAAAATATAATAAGTGTTACGTTAAAAAATGTGTATTTAAAGGGCTTTTCAATATTCATTTGTATAGAAAACTTCAATGCATAGCTTAGACTGAGCACAAAACCGGCTCGCTAGGACGAAAGGCCGTTCAACCCGCTGAACTAGAATGACCCAAATATCGCAACAAATAGTGCTTGCAGACAGACATTAATGCATTATTTGTAAACACTTCCATTCACTTGTTATATAATTTAAGACTGATTTATTATCAACAACAGCATTTTACTAACTCTTCTTCCTATTCTGACGAAGTTAGTATTTACTTCCTTTTAAGTAGATAAGCTTCTAAGCAAAAATTAACGAGCGCGTCTTTAAAAACGAAAGCTACAAAAATTGTGCAGTCGGCACAAAAGGGTAAGCAGATTTTAATGACCATATCAATTCATGACTTCTGGAATGAAACTAAGCAAATATTTTTCAAAATGGACAGATTCAGCATAGACATATTCTGCACAGTCATTAATTTTGAAAATAGGACCAAAAAAGTTCAATTCTGAAAACCATAGTTTTTCCAGTCTTAACAATGATAAACCGTATCATGAATAGAGGAATTTGTCAAGTATTTCATTCATACCAAAAAGCTATTTAAAAATATCCATAACAATCTTTATTGAAGCCGTTCAAAATATAAGAAAATATTAAACTCGTTTTCTATATTTGAACAAATAGAGATTGAAATATAAACCGAATCGAGAAGCGGTGGTTGGTCACGAATGAATTTCCCTTCATGTGCGACTTGTCAAGGAAAGTAGGTCGAATGTCTGGTTTCGCTGACCACGTTATAACTGGAAATATTAGATTATTTGTTTCTGACTTGATATATATCATAGGGGACCAACCGACACCTGCCACTATTTCCTGTTGTTGTAACTGCATTGTGAATCTTGATTTATACGTGATTATGTAGGTACAACATGTACATTAGTTTTTCCTTAATTAGACATGTTATTCATATTACTTGAAATTTTTACAAACATTCACATATTACACATATTTGTGGGATGTCAAAACTTGAAATGATAAACTACTCGCATTACACAGAAGTACTAAGAGCGCATCTGGTTAAATAACCTGAATGAGATTAAATGCACTTAAGGGCTCGACTGCTCTATTCCTTGTAAGTTGCCGCCACTGCCGCACTTCATAAATAGCACGTTTTAGTTTTATTCTCAGTTGTAATAAGTACTAGTTTGTTGAGTGCAATTCCATCGCGTGCTAGGGTTTGTTTATTGTGGTCGAGTTTAGCACCGTGCCGTGCCGTAGTCCGCATCAAGCCAAACGTTCGGAACTGGTCGTGCGAGTTCGGATTGTGCGCTGGCGCAGCTGACAAGGTCGTGCGCTCTGCGGGCACGCGCTCGCAAAAACAACCAATCAAAAACACCAGCATTCCAGCACAATGATGCAGTGTTTAGGATTGGGAAGATTGGGTCTTATGTTTAGTGTATTTCTCAGAAATTGTAAGAAAAATCATCGTTAAATTTGTCTTCTTTAAATTTTATGTTACGCCTTATAATTTTGAATTCGTACCACCAAATACGTATGTAGTTACTTAATGTAAAACCTTAATGGGTGTACATATGGCGAAGGACGTGTTCTTGGAATGTGTCCAACTATTCACCAGCGTTAATGTTTTAGTCAGCATTTTGTAGCTTACTTTTCACACAGCTAACCGCAAGATTCTATCAATACTTACTGTACACATAAGCTATATCTTTGTTATAACGGTGTGCTTTTTCAGTTTCGTTTGGTTCACATTCACCTACTTCAATTATGTTTTACAAGTCACGCGATCACTTTCGTTTAATGTTGAAAATCCCTTGTTATTGGCAATTTAGTTGACTGGTTTGACGAAAACCCCGCTCGCGGCTATGTAAACCTCATATTAAGTGGAAGGTTAAAGAAGAGCTTCGCGGAGAAATTGAATGGCGTGAGGTCTGCGCTTGCTACACCATTTAATATTCAAAAAGCGTCGGCGGGATTGAGCTAGGTAAATGTGGGCCGCGACACGGATCTCTGAGCCTCATCAGTACCCCGTCTTGATTTAGTGCCTATTTTAAACTGGACCCGTGATCAGTCATTTTGAATGACCTCGAATTTCAGGTGCTAATAGTTTACATTTTTGACACTGGACCTCCCCAGTAAATACTTTTTGAAAATTTTAAAAAATTACTTTCGATGAATTTGTACAAAGTACTTACGACATTGTTCGAATAAAAATAAGCTCGAGTTAAGCGCAGCTAACTTTACAAGCGCTTCTCTTTATAGCATCCGGGTAAATCCGACTGGGTAACTAATTAAATGTCCGGCGGCTTAAAGAAGATAAAACGAGTTTTTGTCGAACAAACTAGAAACTGTGAAACAGAATTTTTCATTGGAGGGAAATTGTTGGCGTACTCTTAATTAATATAATTACTTGAATTTTGATCCCTTTAGCCTATTGAGTGTTATTTTCAGTCCAATTACCCAGTAAATTATGTTATTGGATCATAAGTATCATATTAATTTCGTTTTTCTACCGTTTGAAATCACGCCAATTGTTGTTGACTTTAGTTTTAATATTATTAAATTGTGATAAATACTTTATGCGTTACGTATATTATATTTGCTCTTTTTCGTGTAGCTCACGTGGACAACGAGATGTATCTCTCCCGGGCCCTGGAGCGTCTCGGAGGAAACGCTCTCAGCAAAGATTCGGAGCCGGACATCGGAGCCGCATTCTTCAAATTCGCTGTTGTCACCAAAGAATTGTCTGCACTCATGAAGACATTGGTAAGTTTAAAATCTTACGTAATTTTTCCTTAATTATTTATTTTTTATTATGAACCATTTGTTTTATTTATTAGGATTTAGGATGTCATAATCGTTTTAGTGTCAATTGTCTCGAACCCTTTGAAAGAACATATATATTTATAAACAGACGAATAGAAAAAAACATCGACCTATGGTTGAGAATTTTATTTTCCTGTTTAAATAAAACAAGAATCTTGTTTAAATACGTATTTTCAAAACAGTTACTCTAAATTTAATGTATATGCAGATTTAGTAGACTAACTTTCTTTGGAAACGATAAACCAGCATAAGAGAAAATTCTGCATAAATAGTAGTTTACGCAAAAGAAATTAGTTCGTTCTCTAATTAGGTACTATTTGCTTCATTGCATCCAATATGTTCATATGATGTTTGGTTTCATTGAGGTCATTGAACTGAAGATTTATTAGACAACGTATACCTATTTGAATAATAAATGTCTTATCACTGATGCACTTATAGTAAATACTTCACACATTCGTGTATTGTGTTCGCAAACAAACTAACCCGAAACATTTTATTATTTATTCTATTACCATTGATTTTCTACATTCGATTGCAGTCATTTAACTAAAAGAAATATTTTTAAAGTTAAAACAATTTCCAATTCGCGGCATACATAACAGTGTCCCAGTTTGTTTGTTTGCACGAAACGGTAGCTAATACGGTCATCGACCTCTATAACATATTTATAAGCTAAAATATTTTACATATTATAATTTGAATAACGTAAAATCATACATATATATTTTGAATATAAATAAATAATACAAGTAGACCTCATATCCTTAGTGGAGAAAGTGGTGATGACTAGGTGTGCTTTCACTTTTAATATCACTTAACTGTGTAGTTCCATAGACTGGTTATCAAGATGTAAGAAAACTACCACAATCTTTTAAAATCAATCTCTGTAGCCTAAGTGAACAGACGTTATTAGGAACATTGAACTTGCGGTAACTGGTAGAAAGTTAAAATGTCGCACGTATATCATAAAGTTCTATGGCTTTCGTGTAAAGAAAATATTGGAGAGAATTTTCTGTTAACTCGATGCTATATAAGGTTGAATAATGTGATAGCAAAATTTTCCTGAGACGTAAACAATATATTCTTTATTGACATCAACATTTTCATTATGTAGAATAAATACTGGCTTTTGGATTATAATAAAGTGTTGGACTTGTCATCACATTTCTGTGATTGACAAAGTGCGAATTTATACAAGAATATTAAGTCGTTCGTCAAGCCTCGATCTCAATGTAATCAGAATCCGTCAGAACAGCGAGCGGAAATTATAGTATTGAGGGAGCCTGCGGCGGATGTCTCGCAAACATCTCGTTATGAAGAGGGAGCGAACCGACTCCAATATAAGTCCGCAGACGGAATAGGCTCGTTGATACGTCATAAATCGAATTTAATTGAAAATCGGCGACACTTTCATTACCGATTTATTGCTTCTCGATGACGATTTCCCTGAATCAATTCCAACTCTCTGATTGATATTTCTTTCGCTTTATTTACCGTTACCGGGATTTAAATATTTTTTATATCTGCCTTTTACTATGTCGCGACTTTCAATTGTAGTGCCATAGGTTACGATACGTTTAATTATAATGCAATAACTACATATGTAAGTACAGTATATAGTAAAACGCATACTGCTGTAAGTACCGATGGAAATTATTGAACGTCCCTATTGCCGTTATCGCCTTGGTAATGGAGAACTGTATTCAATTTATTATCAGGATGACATTAATTTATCCTTCCTTCGTTATTAATGTTTATTGTTAACAACACATATACATAGATTTCGTCGTATATTAAAACTAGGTTCACATATTATCAATTTGAGGAATCGCCCTTCTTGGAAGGTGATACTGTTAAATATTTAAATGACCCTCGTAAGACGCGATAACTGTCGCTTGACGCAGATACCGGTGCGTGGGCGCACGGCAGATTTGCTTGTAAATGGGTCAGGGTGATGACTCGACCTGGCTAATGTTGCTAGTCAGTAAATTCGGTTGATGTTGCATCGTTAAATCCGTAAACCAAATCCTGTTTTGTAAAGCGTTTACGGTTTACTTCGTGGTTATAATTACACTTTACTAATAGGCATATTTATGTTAGTTCTAGCTGCAAATGTAAATGGTGCGCAGTAATCGCTAGCAACTGATTTAATTTCCATAGCAAAAATAACCGACTTAACGTATAAGTACACTTAAAACACACATTTCACATAGATGCAATAGACACATCCTAAATAAATAAAGTATAAAGCTTTCGTCTTCTATGTGTTATAGGGTTTTAGTTAATAAATATGCGAAAAATATAGTTTGGATGTATAATTTTGAACTTCACTGTTAAACCAGGGTCCAACCTCGCTCCAATTTTGCAGTTCTTGTAATACGTGCCGAACACCCAACTCTATTGCGCAGAATCCTCGACCTGCCCTTGACATGTTGCTCCTTTGTCCTTCCTCATAACTCCCTGATCATGTGTAAAGTTATATTTCGTTGTGAAAATACAAAAATCGCAGGAAATAGCATTGAAAGTAATAACTAGATTCGTTTCATGTTGCTATCAATCGAAGATTGTCGGGATAATTCTTTAATATATTGGGCTTTAATAAATCGATTTATTCGTTGGTTCTAGTTTGTATTGCATATTCATTTTTTATGTTACTCACAATTATTGTCATATTATGTAGCTATTATCTACTGACACGGTGACTGAAAATCTTTGTGTAAAGTAGGTTGGTTAACGTGGACAATAGGATAACAAGTTGTCACATTTATTTATGCCTGCACACGCATATTGCGCCTATATGGCTTCGAACGATGATAATGCGTATGAACAGTATGAAGCCTCGTCTAATCAATGAACACCTGAGATTTTTCTTGTCTTGTTTTTGTGTTAGGTATACTTTTTATGGGTTATATGAAACTGCATCGTTTCATTTCGAAGTAAAACTTGTATGGAATTACTCACCGATGACTCGACAACTTGTCGCGTTTCGCATGAGGAGATTGCCGCTCTCCGCTCCGTTTACCACTCCGAATTGTGTCTGTTACAGTAATCATAATAATGTATGAGTTGTGTGTATGACTAAAGTCGCCGTCGTTTCATTCGTCCTAGTCTATTCGCATTCTTGCTTCTACAATAATCTTTTACGAACATTTTCCGTGGTTTATGATCCAACATTAACACAAATATCATCTTGATGTGGATTCCATTCTAATGATGTGGTAGTGTTTACATTACATGGGCGTGGTTACCAAGAAACAATTGGACGATTTTGCAATTCAGGCATTCCGAACATAATTATACTCATTCAGTTTATTATTTTCTATATATGTACCCGCTAGAATAGAGTATTACATACTGACATAGTGATGGTATTGTTTTGTCGATCCCTTGATTCTAAAAATAAAGGTAATAAAAACTATTTGTAGTGAACAAATTACTGTAAGGAAGTAATTTTCTCTGTCCCATGAAATTTTGAAATATTAAAATACATAGATATTAGAAGGAAGCATTGAACATTCAGTTTATAGCTCTGTTCATAAGCGTTCTTAGCGAATACATTGTGCTAAATGAATCATGGAATTGTTTGTGAAGAATTAATTTAATTTTCATTTTATATCACAGTAGCGGATGCAATCAACAAAAGTTGAACCTGTGTGGCGTGCCGTAGTTTAAAGTTTATATTCATTCGAAATATTCACGAAATTAGTTCTAGAACTTTTCTCTTTGGATACATAAATTTGAATTGCTCCTGACTCAGAAGTGCTTTACTATTTTAGTAGGGCATTTTTTCATGTGGATCAAAAATCATGCTGCATGCATTGTTTAATTGTTATGAAGGTAATAATAATATACTGATGGTCTATCTGCCAAAAACAAGTTAGAAATAAAAATAAATAATAGGTCATTAGAATTAATATTGGACATATAACAAATATAGTGTTTATTGTTTTGCATTAAACATGATTTTACGGATATGGTAAAATTATGTTATTTTATAATAATTCTCTGCTTGACCTGTCCTGTTGGTATCTCGTTACGTTGCTTAGGACCATAATAATATCCTAGTCCTACCGCCAATGTTAGTTAAATTTTACTTAACACATTTGTATGAAACTGTGTAGTGTTTATGCAGAATAAAGTTATAAAATCACTTCTTCGTTGAAAATCTGATATCTGCAGATAAAAATAAAAACTTATCGGAATCGACAGTGCTTATCGAAATCAAACAATATTGAAATGAGAATCCAATGTTCTTGTCATTCATAAAAAATATTGACTACGGCAGGTATCGGTTTCAATTTTCAATTATCGTACGCGATTCGGAAACATAGCCCAATATTTTGAAAACGCAACGGGTTCTTTTATTTACAGAATCTTAAATTATTCGTTTGCCTCACCATGAACTTAATATTTTTTCTGTGGTGTTGGTATTGTTGGTATTGATGTATATTTTTTCGAATTAAGAAATGTATCTCGCCTGACCAGCTTTGATTTGATTTGTAGCTATACTTAGTTGTTTAAATATTATTGTTTCCTTCGATTTAGATGACTAACTATGGGGTTTAATCGTTAAAGTTACCGATTACCTCACCGTGGGGGAAAACGTATTCAATTATTTCATAGTATGAATAACAACATTACCGGTGTTTTAGCGTGTGATTTTTCATTACCATACAATATGGTAAAGCGTACGGATCGCACGTGCTCTCAATTCAAACAATGATCATTGTTACACCATATAAACAAGAACAGTAAAAACTTCGCTTTGCACCTATTTTGTTCAGCAATTTATTTTGACGTTCACAACCAACTTAATGATATCCATTTATACTTCTTTATGTCGTCATAGTTATGTGTAGGTCACGTATATTTTTTCTTTTCTCAATGGTGGTTTTGTATTTATACAATACAGCCGATCGGCCTCATTGCTGACGTAATTAAGGTTGTTTGGTAATTGTGCGATTGCAAATGGTGATAATTTATTAAAGAATAAGGATTAGTCACTCAGTCTTACATCAATGTTATTGATAACAAGCAACATATAAGTTCATTATCGTCTCTAGCGTTTTTGTGCATAAGTAATTTTTAAGAATAGTAAAAAATATTTTCATTATCAGTGTTACTTTTAGATAAAGATTGTTATAATCTTTTGGTTTATTTTGGTCGGGCGGCGTTGGTCTTTCTCACGCTGCCCTTAGAATTCAATCCCGTGACACTTGTGCAACTTCGCAGAACGCGGAAAGCGAAACCTCGTCAGTAATTCAATTCTGCGTTCAGATAAGCGTTTCGCTATTAATCGAGCATGGTCATGACGTGCCGCGATGGGAATATCGCGTGCGGATAACATTATGTCCGAGTATCGAGTTGTTATCGAGATCGTGCCAGATTGCACTTCCAGCCCGCAGCTACCACTGTACTACCCGCAGTTACGATACGATAGCTTAATTGATTAACCTTGTGGCAAGTGGTTTTCTCCCGGCAATTGATTTCCTGATAGCTTATTGTCGTCTACCACAAATTCATCGATGGCAAAAACAATACGTTTTAAATTAAGAAATAATTATGTATTCGTCTATTTAACTTCTAACGCAATGACGGTATTAGCTTTAGCCAACAATTTTTCCTTATTTGGTATGTTTCAGGTGTAGTTACACTACAATAAATATTAATTATCTACCTGTTGGAATCGAAAAAACTCAACAGTTAACGCCCTCCAAGTTTTCCCTCACTGTTACCTAAACATAGTTGGTACGTTCGTACATTATTTAGTGGCACGTCTTACGTTATTTATTTGTTTGCGTTTTGGAACTTGGAGCGTTAACCCGTTTCGGTACATAGTAAGATTTACGATGTCTCGTTTCTGACAATAAATTAAACGTAAACATATCCACAGTTTTCCTGTGACGTTATAATTAGCGGAACATTCAATGACCAGCAACAATGTTCAGGAAGGGTTTCATTGTATACTTCAACCCTTTGTCCCTCATTCCCTCCCGAGTCTCGTCTGTCACAGACGCATTCGCTTCATTGATTCCGTAATCGACCCTCCGGGAATGGGGTCTCATAGCGTGTTGACTTTTTGTTCTCAACCGTTTAATTACTTTATCTGCTCAACTCATTATTGTGACTGACGTTCTTAATGAAGTAGCATGCCTCGTTAGTTTTATTTCTCATGTAACAATACAGTAATAGTTATCTACGCAGTTGTTATGATGTAACTGCTTTGTAGCCATAAAATATATTGGTGCGTTTTCTGTAGAGGTCAAGGTTTGCGTTTGATATTCTTCTGCCAATTTTGATGCTTATTCATATCCAAATGTACATTAAGGTTTCTCAATCTGGCATCATTATTCAGTTCATGACGTTACATTGGCGCCTATTCGGGCGATGCATTTGAAACGTCGTGTACCTAACGTTTTGTCTGTCAAACGACGCTCATGAAGCAACTATGGCAACACATCGTGGCTAAATGACTAGGAATGCAGCTGTTGTGCAACGTGATAAACTGTGCACAGCTTTAGACGATAGCTTTATGACATCTTTTGTTTAAATTCTACTCAGCTTTATGACGGTAGAACAATACTTTTAACTTTATTATCATTATAAACATTTTATATGACCGCTTATGCTACACGCTTATGATAATAATTTAAAATCGCCTATTTTTGTTCCAGATGCAAAATATAAATAACATCGTCATGTTTCCCGTTGATAGTCTTCTAAAAGGTGATCTACGGGGAGTAAAGGGTGACTTGAAGAGACCATTCGATAAAGCATCCAAAGACTATGAGTCAAAGTACCTGAAAATTGAAAAGGAAAAGAAATCCCAGGCGAAGGAGGCTGGTCTCATCCGAAGTGAGGTGACGCCAGCGGAGATAGCGGATGAGATGGAAAAAGAGAGGAGACTGTTTCAATTGCAAATGTGTGAGGTAAGCATACTTTAATAAAATTAATGTATTAAAACAACCATTAAATGCCATAGTTAAGTTATACCTTTGTAAGTGTTAAGAAACGGTGCAAACAAATCTCAGTATATTTAGTCTTGATGAGCTTCAAATATAAATAAAACTCACCATTTGTTTACTTAACTTCTTGCTCCTTATTTGTTTTATGTGGCAGCTTTATTACATCTTAGTGCTACTGCCGAGTTTTACAGATGTGCGTCAAGAACATTTTATGTCGATTACAATTTATCTGCTAATGTCCTAAAAATCCGTAAAATATCTCGACTTTGGTGGAAACTATTTATTAGATTGAATAAACACTGTCGTAATATTAGTCTTCTAGTTTAACTTTTACGACTAAGATACGATCTCTAGCTTTGCAAATACGTCCATTTTAGGACCATTTTAGAAGCTAATTTCAGACCATTCGCGAATTTATTGCAGTTTATGATGAGTATCATGAACGCACGAGTATTATAAATTACTTTGATATTTGATTCGTGGAACAGAAATATTCTTTTAACAAATTCGGGTTCAAATATCAGGTTGTTTGCTCTTATTTTTAAAGAACCTTTTAAATACTGTTCCACGAACTGCCTGGCTGAACCGACTGACATTTGGCCGGTAGCCGAGCTAAGCCAAAAGGTGGATAATTAATAATTGGTGGTGAGCAATTTGCGGCTTCATTTCACACGCCCCGTGGGCAGGACCTGTTGGTTGGTTACCAATTACATAAGTCAGGTTATACTTAAACTCAGCTATAGGTGTACCGACGCGTTCTCATTACGTTTTGTAAATGATCGCTCTGGGGCCAACAGCTCGTAACAAATGGCGGCACTTTGTTAGATAAATTTAGGAAAATACTGAACTTAGAATATATTTTTCATATTTACCTAGAAGTCGGGGCTCTGTACTCATTGATGTGCCTTTTGAGCGTGAGATATACAATGTGTAATAGAAATACCAATCCTAACTTGAGTAGACAAAACATCGGTTCCATGTCACATCAATAATTCAATGGGACCTCGGTTTCACTGATTCTGACTGACAGGAAGCTTATGTTAACACTGGTACAGAGAACTCTGAGTCAGAGAGACAAAACCATAACTCGACCTTTACACATTACTCTCGTATGTCCACTCCGTGGTTACAAACACGGCGCTAATTAATGAAACAGATCGCGTGACAGCTGTTAATGAGCGTGCCAGTCACACGTGCACTTATTGCTGATATATAGCAGTTTGCGAGTATTGCTTTTGATGTTTTTACCTAATGAACGTGTGTCAAATAAAATATCAAATTGCCAATATTATTGAAAGCTTTTCGGTTAACGTAGTTCGGAGTGGTATTGCCTATTTGAAATCAATGCCATATTGAAAATGAATGCCAGTGAAAAGTTATACATATTATTAAACAGATAATACTGCGATGTTTTACTTCCAAGATAAGCTCAACTAAGCGCGCTTCAAATAAAGACGCAGCCTCTCTCTTCTCGTGTAACAACAGCAGAGTAATGACCGAAAAATAACTGTCGCACGCCTACATTATGTGCAAGCCTTCTGCCCTAGAATGCAATTAACAATGCGTGTGTGACGATATATTTGTCCGTGACAGCCATTTTACCTACGTAACGTTCTGCCTCCACACCATAGCTGTAGCACTGGCAGTCATTGTGGGCTCCACTTGTGCCGTTATGCACATAACCTGTGGCTGCGAAAAGGTCGTATGTCCGTTGGCAATGACACTGGCAAACAGTTACATTAAACGCACGTTGCCAAAATTCTGATTCTATTGTTCATGGGAAAGTTTGGTGTCAAAGACGATAAATATATGTATTCAATAATATTATGAAGAAACTCTTTATAAAAACTAAGAAATGGCTCCAGAAAATAATTTGGATGGTTATGATAATTTAATTATCAAAGTATGCATCATTATCTAGGAGTTGGTACATAGTAGCCATGCAGTTCTTGCGTAAGCATAATATATGAAGGATATCGAATAAATTTTGCAGTAACGTAATGTTTGCGTTTACATGAATGATAGCTACAGTGATAAGATAAAAATATTATGCTGTTATTAGCAAATATTGCATCGCCATGCTTCTATTTAAGTAATAATAATCGCTATCGATATTCCTGTGACAATATGTGCAGTCTCTCTATGCTTTACTTTTTATATTTTTACAATTTGTGTAATACACACACACACCCACACACACAGTATTCATAAATGGTCCGTAACTGATTTAACACCCTTGTGACGACTGTACAAATCAGTTATGGCGTTCAGTGAGAGAGTGAAATAATGAATTTATTATTGTAAGTAGACCATAGAGCAGCCTTTTTACGCATCAAGCCTTAGCGTCCAGACGGTGCCCTATAGGGCTGATGTTCTGCCGAGGTTCTGCGAGGCAAGCGCAATAACGCACCGCGCCCTCGGCCTAGAGCAGTAAAAGAAACGGGGGTTTTTAGTCAGTAAGTCCCCACCCTGGGCGGAAGAAGTCATTTGATGATTTTCCCCTCACAAAAAAGGCCTTAGCGCCAGTAAAACAATATTTATCCAGGATTTATTTAATCCTTTTTAAGCCATAAACTGTACTGAGTGCCAATCGTCTCTTGCATAACATATGCGTCTATCTGCGGTGCAGAATGCAATGCCAAATGTCTCGGTAAATATCTTTAGCTGTGACAAACTTGCCAAATGGCAGCAGACAAAGTTCACGGGCGGATTGCTAAATCACGACTGGTAATCGAGCTTCATCATTGGAAATACTGAATAGGGCATTCGAAACAATTGAAGGCTTTCTAAATTATCTTACTCCATCGTATTTTAACTAGAATGAAATTGCGTTACTTTAACTCGAAAATACAGAACATTTACATACTTTCGCGTCTTGATCAATATCTAAATTGACAATAGAAGATTCTATAATATTCATCATTCATCCTCAATTCTCAGTTACTGGTTTGCCGTAAAACCAGCTTCATTTTCCATTCCAACTCCAAACAATTTGAAAGCAAAATATTTTCATTTTTCATCAACGCTATACTTGGTTTTGCAAGCTTTATTTTCCGTATCATTGACTTTTTTTTTCTTTCCGATAACATTGGTTTGTAACTGGTGATGCTGCAAGAGTAATGACCTGCGAAACGCAACCCAAACCTTTTTGGAGTGGTTTTGGCACACTTGGTAGAGCGGTGTGTAAAAAGGATTTTCCTGTATGAAGAAGTTCTATTTATAGATGTGCCATAATGTAGATATCGAGTATTGAAAATACTGGTTAATGAACCATATAATTTTGTATGTAATGGCAAGCACATAAAAGCTAACATGCTAGGTAATGTTAAATATTTCATTTTAGTGCTTACGCTGTATTGGCCGAACATACTAGCAATAAACTTAAACATACATATTTGCTATTTAAGAATGCATAATGAGGACAAACTATGAGTTAAGAGTGCTTTTAAAGTTGATGTTACAAACCGCATATCTCCGGACGGTTCATCATGAACTGTTGCAGTAGAACTATAATTGGCAATCAGGCCAGGTTCCATACCAAACTGGCCATTATCTGCTATGATATTTGCATTTATGTACAAAAAAGATCTTAAACAACAATATCATAACTAAATATAAATGTACCAATTTTATTTATTAATGTATTCGACAAAACAGATCAAAACTAATATTTGTGTTAGTTTCTCATACATAAATGTACTATTAATTCTTAGTCAAATACTTCTAATCTTCTTCAACTACTATGCTTCCAAAGCGCTTTATAATATCATTTTATTCAAATTATGTAGGTATATTCATATCACTGAGTTACTTTTCCTTTGTCCTGTGGTCGAGGCCGGGGGTAACAATTACTAAGCACTATAATTTCAACACGTTCAATGAACTTCATTGATTGTATTACAGACGTTTATGCAAGGTATCTCTTATTCCTTAAGACAATTGCGTTGGTTTAAATTAATTTATCGAAACTGTTCAATTAATTGCCCCTCCTGTTTGTTGTTCTTCTAAAGTAATCGTATTGCGTTGATGTTCTACCGTACGAACTTCCACTCCCGTTTTAACACGGCATATAGGTACCGCGGGTCGCTAAGATATTTGTCTGTTCGACAAATACGAAAGTTTACGAGTTGTTTCACAACATTAATGAGGTTTAATATAAATGCCGTACAATTATAATTACTTTAGAAATATATTTAGATGTTGAATTGAATGGAATTGAGAAGTTCTATAATCTCTAGGTACTTGCTTAATTTGTCGCAAAGCTATGGTAACTATTTTGTAAGTTGTTAAAAAAAGAAACCTAGAAGCCCTGTGGTGGTTGGGTCGGTGCGGTACAGAGGAGGCGCGCGTCAGGTCGACGACCGGCCTTGCGCCGCGCAGGGCCGACGACGCGCTGACCCTCGCTTTGTTCCACGTCTCTCTCGTTGCAAATACCGCCTCGGCCACATCATACCCACAGCCCACGCTTTTACCTCTGTTAACACTATAATAAATACCACAACGAGGCATGCCACAGCCGCGGCCAGCATAGCAACTTAAAAGCCGTCTAGCTCCCTCTAGGAATGTAATGAACCTGTAACTTAAACAAAACTGAATGCTAAGTTAAATAGGCAAGTTGCCAACAGTTGTGCAAGGTCGCGGGCTGAGTTTTATTATTATTACACAACTCTGCAAGACAAATCTGGATCCACTATATCGCGAATGCGCGTGCGCGTGCGTCATCAAGTGTAATTTTAACTCGCGGAAGGGCACGTAGTTGTAATATCGGTGCGTTTCCACAGTCCCGGGTGCCGCTCGTGTCTGTCTGGCGTCCCATTAGACACGGTCTCTGATGAAGTAATAAGCATGCTCGTGCCCACGCGATGTTTTCGGCGTCGTTCTGTCTACTCAACAAACTGGCTTCATTCCATTTTTGATCGTTGTTGTGACTGGCCCTGTTCAAGAGATATCTCAATGTGAAAACTAAACAAACACTGTTGTTGCAGTACCTGATAAAGTTCAACGAAATAAAAACGAAAAAGGGAATCGAGCTGCTTCAACATTTAGTGGAGTACTATCATGCGCAGACGAACTATTTCCAAGATGGCTTGAAAACAATCGAGCACTTTGGTGTGTACGTCGCAGATTTAAGTGTACAACTGCAGAAGATTCGGCAGCAGCAAGACGACGAACGACGGAGGTTATTAGAGCTCAGAAACATGCTGCGAGCAGCTGCACCTCAAGACAGAGAGGTATGTTTTTCTGTCAATGTTATTTTCTACTCATGTGACTTTTGAAATTCACGATGAGTTGCCAGATATTTGTAATCACGGCGCAGTTGTAGACTTTGCTTACAGACAACTAGTTTGTGAGAAATGTATAATTACTCGTTTTGTGCTCCGTACTATCTAAAGTGAATATGTCCATGCTCCAGGTAGTGTCATCTGTCGGTGGCTACTCTCTGCATCAAATGCAAGGTGATAAGCAGCACGGAGTCAGTCGGAGTGGCTACCTGCTCAAGAAGTCCGAAGGCAAGGTGCGCCGAGTTTGGCAGAAACGACGGTGTCGAGTCACTGCTGAAGGTTTCCTGGACATCTTCCACGCAGACGAGAATAAAACTCCGGCGAGGGTCAACCTCCTCACATGCCAAATTAAAGTAGCGGCTGAAGACAAAAGGGCGTTCGATCTAGTCTCATGTGAGTATCAATTACTCATACTTGATAGTTTGCTTCACAAATTAACTTTATTTGATTGAACTAGTAGAAACTTGTGCGGTTAATAGAAGTTGCGATCCCGATTATAGCGGAATAACTTTTACGAGTTAGATAACTTTCCTTTCATAATATATAGCGTCTGATCAAATAACGAACTCGGAACCAGTGGCTATTAATAAAATCCCTCAATTATTCAACATTAACATTTGGCTTACCAAAATGGTCTGTCTTTCTCCAGATAACCGAACGTACCACTTCCAAGCTGATGATGAAAATGAGCAGCGTGCGTGGACATCAGTGCTGGTTAACTGTAAGGAGGGAGCTTTAATGAGGGCTTTCCACCAGCAGGCCGGCGAGACCAATGACTCAGGACACTCGCTACTAGACCTGCAGCGCTCCATCATCAGGGCTGTCAGAGCTATGCCAGGCAACCAAGTGTGCGCGGATTGTGGCTCTACTAATGGTACCTTTTCATTTAAAACTTTCAATTAATGTTTAGTAATTTCACTTTTAATCGCAATCTTATAAATATACGGATAGAGCATTGATGGTAGTGGATTATAATCTCCTTGCTCTTTTTTATTAGCATTGCATGGGAGTTATTTAATAAACTTAAAAACCTTCCTTTTCCGAGATCTGAAGATCAAGCTCAGTTGCGTGCAATTGGAGAGGGTTATTATTTCATAATTATATGATCCACATTCATAAATATGTTTTTAATTTATGATTACTTTATCCGAAACGACATTTGATAGGAAGAGGATTTCCCCCTTACATGACCTAGACATTTATTTTGATAATACAATTTCTACCACAAAATTTAGAAGTTATAACGTTTTGATAATAAAATAATAAGGGTTTGTAAGAGTTTTTAAACGTTTTATTTACTTGTATACTTGTATTTGATATCTTCTTTTTTATTCTAGATCCGACGTGGTTGTCAACAAACTTCGGTATAATAGTGTGTATAGAGTGTTCGGGTAGTCATCGGGAGTTAGGCGTGCATATATCTCGCATCCAGTCTCTGACACTGGACCGACTCAGTACGTCGCAACTGTTGCTCGCGCGCCATATGGGTAACCAAATGTTCAACGAGATTATGGAGAACACGCTTGATGAACGAGATAAACTTACACCTGAAAGTTCCATGTAAGATTTCAAAAAACATCTACAAAACATTTATTTTGCTTTATTTTTTTATTTTCGTTTACTGATTTTTTACTTTTTTTATTTGTACGGACGGCATACAAGAAGACGGATTACCTGATGGTAAGCAATCAGCGCCGATCATGGGCACAAGTAACAATGGAGGAGTAACGAGTCGTTGCCGACCTTTTAGGGTTAGGAATTTAGAGTTTTTGAGATTGGGGAAGGATAGGTAGGATAGATTAGCATCCGGCAACCTCACTCATACGACGAATCACAACGCTGGGGTTGTTCTATGAGGCCGTGAAATCACTCCGGTCGGGCCGACCCATTCATCCCGAAGCATGGCTCTGCCAACTTTAATTGTGATGTTTCCAGGGAGGAACGTCTAAGGTTTATCCGCGAGAAGTACGTATACCGAGCGTTTGCCGCGCAGACATGTTGCGACGCGGCCGAGCGACTGTCGGAGGTGGAGCACGCCGTCAACAACGGACACCTGCAGAACTTGCTGCAGGCCTACGCCGAGGGAGCCGACCTGGCCGCACCACTGCCTGGCTCGGTAAATATAAATTGCACAAAAATTTAAAGATAAATAAATATTAGTAGCGCAACTTAATCCCATTTATGCGCAGTTTGCGCTACGTAAATTTTGCGCTAATTAAAGTTGTGCCAAGACTTTTTATAATAGTCACGCTTTATAAAGCAATTAATAAAGTAGTAATTATTAAGTTTTGGATTCAATAGACATGACTGTGAGTCCCGGAACAACTAGTTAGTAATAAATTTTGTCCACTTTCAGGACCTCGGCGAAACATCACTCCACTTAGCGATATCGCGTGAGATTGGCGATGGGTCTTCTTTACATATAGTCGATTTTCTAGTCCAAAACGGTGGCTCGCAATTGTTGGACAAGCCCAACTCTCAGGGCATGACTGCGCTACACCTGTGCGCCGCCACCGACAGAACTGAACCTATGAAGTTGTTGCTCAAAGCTGGGGCTGACTCCACTATTAAGGACGCTACCGGCAGGACTGCCTTGCAAATAGCTAGGCAATATGGACACTTAGGATGTTTAGAATTGGTATGTATTGTTTCTACAATATTTGTATAGTAAATGGTCAGTCGGTAACATGTAACTTAGGGACATAAAGTGACTTTGAGTGCAACTGGCTGCTGCGCAACGGGTTGCAGGTTCGATTTTGTCATGGAACAACTGTTTATGTACTTAATCCACAAATTCTGGATTTGTGATGTGTGTCAATGTGAAATTGTATGCTTGTAAACGCATCCATGACGACACAGGAGCAAACACTAGTGATCTTTTTTTTTAAATATTTTGGATTTTCTTTTTAATGTTGAACTTATGATTTTCAGTTGGAGAATGTGGATAAACGAGAGAAGAGCATATTTGAGAATATCAACATAGACTGGAACTTATCACATGATGATGGCTCAACCGACTTTTCTGACGATGACACTGTAATTGACGAGAGAGTAAGTTTTTACAGAGTATATTGATTAAAAATATGTACAAACATGAGGTTTACCAATAATTAACATCCGGACCTCGAACATATAGGTCATATTTGCCATAAACTCGTGTTTACGTATATATGGTTTATGAATGAATATTTAAAAATGTATATCCACTGATACGGATCCGAATACGGATATTTGGTGTCAAGATCCGCGTAAACGGATACGGATCTTTATTTTCTTTCGAATTCGAATGGTGTCGGCACCTTCAAATCAAATCAAATCAAAATCATTTATTCCAACTAAACCATAAATAGGTACTTTTGAAACGTCAAAATAGAACAGTAGTCTGTCAGTCTGTTCGTCAGTGAAGCTAGGTGCTCGTTCCAAATTGTAGTTTCGAATGGAACCCTTAAAACGGTTGTTGACGTCACGCTCACCGCAACATCAGGCAAGACATGTTTTGACTCACATTGAGCGAAACTGTTACTGTTGCTTTGATACATTTTTAAAACAACGTCTACTAAGAAGTTTTTCTTAAGGTGTAATTTGGAAATACTTCGTGATGGTAATGATGTTAATTTGATCAGATTCCCCTAAAAAGATCCGTAAAATATCCACGTGAAAAGTAACGGACACGGATACGGATTTTGCTTTTACTTCGGATGTCCGCGGATATGGATATTCGGAACATAACTAATAAATATGGCATGTTGTTTTCCAGCAAAATGGTAGTTTAACGCCAGAGAAGAAGTGTCCGCGATCTAGGCCTCCGTCGTACGCAGGGGGCGCAGTACTGAGCACCGCGGAGCGCTGCCCCGCGGCGGGAGACTCCCCCGTACTGCGCTCGCGGTCCTCCACCTGCGACTCGCTACACCACGCACCGCCCACACCCACCACACTACCTAGGAAACCCAACGTCTGTGAGTATCTCTAGCAACTACCATATTTCTATGTAGTGAATAATATATAGGAAATTATTTCAAAAGTCAGAAAAGCCTCATACACTCATCATCCCCAGTAGATTAAAGATCTCCATTTTTAAGAGGTTGCTATAGTCCCCTCGCTTGCCAAGTAGATTTGATATCGTGCTTAAGTTGAAGTCTCAAATCTTGATCCGAAAAGTGAAGAATATTGCTTCAAGTCCTTCATTAGCTGACGGCATTTTTAGAATTTATCTACCCCGATAAATTCGCCATACACCATTCCATGGGCTGCGCGGATTGATGATAGATAATCAGTCAGCAGTTTGCCGTCCTGTCACATAAAAAGTGACGTAATGTGTCCTTTCTCCCCCCCAGACAACATGGGCAGCCTGAAGAAGCGCGCGGCGCCGCTGCCGCCGGGCGTGTCGCTGGTGGCGCCGGCGCAGGCACCGCGCGCCTCGCCCTCGCCCTCCGCTGACACCGCGCGCTCCTTGCACGGTAACATACATTTATATACTTACATTATGCCGTAAAATATCGGTTGGTTAAGACCCATCATAAGTGCATGAGAGCACAATAACCATACTTCGGTACAAATGGGCCGGCTCTACCAGACACAGTGATACCATCGCCTCTCATAAAAATAGCATGAAATAATAATACCCCAATTATATTTGCACGCTATAAATGGCAGAATATGTTGAGCCCTAATTTTTATAACATACTGTATAAGATACTTGCAAGTTGAAAAAATAAGCTAAATGAGGAACGTTATTTATATTTATAATCGCAGTAACAGTCACTATGTAGATTTTCATTTACATGATAGACAAAAATAAAGTAGAATAATGACTCACTACATGTAAAATTGGTTAATTGAATGAAAAATAAGGTGCATTCGTCCCAAAACACGCTTATCCAAAATAATCTTGAACTTGCATATCTATTTATTGATTGTAATGTTATCATTCGCGTTATCTAATCCAAATGCTTATTGATCGCAAGGTTTAGTAAATTTCTCGATAAAATGATTTATTTACAGGAACAAACCTGATTGTAATGTTACGTATTTACCTTATCAAATCAGTACTTAAGTATATAATGTTTTTGTTATTTAATTAGAACCTCCTCTTAGTACATTCATAGACATTTGTGAACATTAATAGTTTTTTGTTGTTCATAATATTGCTGTAATTTGGTTGCATCTAGTTTCCAACTAGTCCAACTAGTCAAATTCAATACTTTTATCCGAAAGTCAATAACGATACTTTTCTATGAAATTTGTATTAAAAAAGTCATAACATTTTTGCGTTAAATAGTTTACTTATTTCTTAACAATTAGCTTAAAAAAATCTAAAACTTACTGTGTCGATCGATTGATGAATAAAAGTGTAGTTATTTTTCAATATTTTATTAAAAGTCAAAAGTCAAAATAATTTATTTCAATTAGACCCATACAGGCACTTTTGAACGTCAACACAACTTTAAAGATACAAAGTGTCAGTCTGTCGGTCAGTCCTCTTAGTGAAGCTATTCGCTCGTTCCAAAGTGTAGATTCCGATGGAGAAGAACGAGCAAGAAACTCCATGGTTACTCTTTTAAAATCAGTGTCACATAAACATTCTTTGATACATTATTTAGTTAGTTTGAATATGTGAGAACAGTGTAACGCGTGTATACAGAGAAACATAAAAAGAAAATAACCTTAAGGACAATAGACAGTCCGGAGCTGACCAGTCCCAATTGACGGCGCCCGTTCACGAGCATGACACGTACACCAGCATCGCCCAACTCAACCATAATATAGGGAATCAAGCGATCCAGTGACCGTGCCACCGCCAATGTGACCTTTGAGTGAGCATGACAACTCCAAGCTGACATAAGGACCGACATTCTGCTAGTCTATTATATATTATTGTATTGAAACGTCGAATTAATTTATTTTTGACTTAGGAAACTACCCAATTTTAAAGAGTAATTACATTCATCAAAGAATTGAGTATATATATTCGTATGTACCTTGAATTAATTAAAAACATGGTTTACTTATCTTCGTTATTTTTGTCACCAGTATCGGGCGGGGTGGTGAAGGTCCGTCCGGCGCAGCCCCCGCCGACGCCGCCGACCCCGCCGCCCGCGCTACATAACGGCGCGCACCATCGCGACGAACCAACCCCGCCACCACGAAAGGTATATCCGTCACCATAATATCATGCCATCATTTCTTTTAAATGCATTTTTGGAAATGGGAGCCATTTAATTTATGTTCCGTATGTTCTATAGGTAGCAAAACTGTCTTCTGCATATTATATATTACTATATTTAAATATCATTAACTTCAAATAAAAATGCTGACTCCCTATAAAAGTTGTGCAGAAGATTATCAAAGAATTGTCATTGTTGATAAAGAGAATGAGTAATTGAGATAGACAGTCATATTTCTATGCTTATTGATTGATTATATTGAATTTGCAATAAAACATGGAAACTATGTAAATATTATTGGTAGCTCTACTAATGTAACAAATATTACTGCAAAGGTGAACTTCTTACTAAAACAATTGAAATGATTGATAGCTCTACTAACATAATTTTGAAACTAGTACAGGGTTATATTTGTTTTTGCTACAGAAGAAAAATAGATTGCACCTGGAAAAGGCTGTGAAAGCGAAACTGAAAAGGGTAACGAACGACAGACAAAGAACTTAGTGTACTTACTCGCTTACCCTTGTTTGATTTACGCCCTTTGTCATTAATAATATTGTTTTAATTATAATTTTATTGTCAAGAGAAGCCGGCAAAATCTCAAACAACTAAACCGCGAATAACATTGAAGACCCACGTTACATTGGAGCTAAATACAAAATTTTGCACGCTGTTCTGGCTTTTATGTCAACAGAGTAATCCATAACAGCTTGAAATAGCCGAACATTTTCATGTTATTTGCGTGGCTTGCATTCCTCTCAGTTGGCTTAATTGAGGAATCTTTGAACATTTGGCGATACAATACTCTTGACAATTGGTCCCTACATCTACACCATAAACTATGCATTTACACTAATTTAATTATAATGATGTGTACTTTATGGATATTTAATTTGGCCTCACTGCATGTTGTTTATCTAACAGCTTTCGGCTTTCTTGTAATTTATTAAACAAGCCACTTTGTTTTTCTAGATCCTATTTCTATAGAAAACATAGATGCATTAACTATAAGTAGATGTTTACTTATGAGCTAAAAATGAGACGCATTTAACATTATCTTCAAATATTATACAATCTCAAATAATACTTGAATAAATATTTGGTCGACGTCCTCATAGAGTGTGAATAACTTTCAAATTGTTCTGCATAAATGACATTCCAATAAACACTGTGTTAAACATAATAATGTAATTTTATCCTACTTGAATGACAAGTCCAATTCGTCATTTTAATCTTTTAAAAATCTTTTCAATATTTTATTTCAAAGCACTGTGCAATCTTTGAGCACAATTTCATTATACAAAATTTTAGGCCTGAAACACAGCTTAGCTGGTTATTTTTTTTTCAATTCCATTCTATATGAGCTAATACAAAGGATGTATTTTCCAGGAATGTTCTAGTCAAGACTCGTCGCTGGAGCTGTGTGATATGACAGACTCATGTTTGGACGACAGTCGCTTGCAGTCGGCTCTGTCATGCGACAGCTCCCGGTCCCGCGAACGATCGCGGCGGAGTGATAGTCGCTCGCTCGACGTCTCTGATACTTCCAGTGTACACTCAAGGTCGCCATCTGCTTCTATTACAATGGTGAGTTGAGCAACAAGTTCTACTGACCTTGTATTTTGTAATCTTGCATATAAACTGTAAAGAATTTTGATAGAAAATTTTCAACTTTTGGTTCTTGGTTTAATGCTAGATTTAATTTTTTTCAGATGGGTGGATTGAGGCGGTGCCGGGCACTGTATGATTGCTCAGCAGACAACGAAGATGAATTGTCATTCCGCGAGGGAGAAGTCATAGTTGTAATAAACGAACGCACAGAAGACGACAACTGGATGGAGGGCCAGGTCGAGGGCACTAGTCGACGGGGCATGTTCCCCGTCTCTTTCGTGCACATGCTACCCGACTAATGATGACAGTGACAAAACGTTTGGCAGCCATGGAACGTAGGTCAATACCACCAATGTTCGTAGAAAACCTATGTTAAATGTATATCGGTAGTAACCAGGTCAGCAGTCGCAGCAATGCAAGCTTGACATTGTATCCTGCTTAGAGCTGAACCCAACGCCATAAACTGACAAGTTCAAATGTTCCAGTCAGTATGGGGATCGTATTCACATGTCTATTGAGCTCCGTATATAACGGACGCATTAAATTCTTATTATATTGTATATTCGTCTTTTTAATAATAACTTTAAACCAAAAATTGGTCATATAGCTGGGTTGTATATGTAGATGAGTCTGACTGAAGGATTATTGTGTTCAAAATTACTAAAAAACACCAGTGTGAAGCGATTCTGGAAGTGTTACGAATTTCAACTATAAATACTTTAGTTTGGGTGTCTGGCCTAAGGCTTGATTTTGTTTTGATAGCTATGAGCTTATTTATTCTAGTATTTTACACAGTTCTACAGTCGGCATTACCACACAAAATTTTATGAAATAGTTACGTTGAAGCTGTTAACTATTGTTCTATAGCACTGTTCTACATTACCATCACTAGGTTGTTCAGTATTATATGTATACTACTGTTGAAACATATATTTCATTGTTAATATACACGAATTTCATACTCAACATTTTAACCATTCCACATTTGGACAGTCGTCAGATATAATTATCACACAATTAAATATTAAGATTGTTTTAAGATTATATTTGTTATTAAGATTGTCTCAATAACTAAATATTCATGATAGGATGAACGTTGGAAACCTAATAAAGAAGTAGTTATTGCTTTAGCGTCGGCGTCGCTACGAATTTATAACACCAATATTGTAAGTTTGTCAGTAGGCCGTCCGTCCTGACGCGGATTTTTTACTTACTGTATACTTAATAACGTTCTTCATTTCAAAATTTGTACTGCATATTGATGTATCATCTATAATTTTGTATTTTATAAATTATTGGTTAGTATGATATGTCTTTAAAGAATCTAGGAACAACTGCTCACTATTTTGTAACATTGGATTCTAACATTTCTTAAAAGTAATAAATTGATGTTGTACATTGAATAATTCTAACTGTTTATGTAGAATTTTAGTGTAAAAAGCTAGTTTCTAGATCCCAATATAAATAAATATAATAAATATCAAATGACTGCGAGTGAGCAATATGGAATTACTCATTTCAATTCATCGTGTGGTCGCTTAGTTTCTTCTTAATGTGATATTTTAGCTTATTACACATTCGATCGCTTGTTAGAATTGGTGTCACTTAAAATTATATACCAGATTTATTAGTGGTTGTCTTTAAATTGAAATCGTGAAGTTTTCTGAATGTTAAGTCATAAACTTGTTAATATTGACAATATCGAGCCCATATAGCTTTACAATCATAGTGTACAAAATGATTTAGCTCTTGATTGTAGCATGTAAAAAACATGTTTGTTTCGTAACTCCACCATTTCGCCTCGCGTAAACGAAGCAATAGTGTTTACAGCTCAGTTAGATTTGCCAAATATGTAATTGTGATGAGTAGTGAAAGAGATAGGTATATTTCACCGACAAACCTTCGGACCAGTGACTGTTTGTTGTATAGTTTGTTCTAGTAGACGATATTGAGGTGTCTTAGATTGTTGGTGCATGCTGTCTATAGATCGTGTTCGTACTGCGAGACTATAGGCCGGAAAGTTTATTTATACTATATATGTATATACGTTTGAGTATCAAACGATTCATTCGGTATTTTAAGCTTATTCACTTGCTACCAGTTTTTCAATATGGACCAAAGAAATTCTTTATAGTTGCCCTATGTGGATAATGTTCGCCTATGGTCTCCCAAGTGACGATGAACACTAAAAATTGTTGTTACATGTTAAATTTTAACAATTTCCACATTTTAATAGAAGAAGTATTGTAATAATAGCAATAGATTTCTTGTTTGTAAGACGATGAAGGAATAATGTAAGAAAATGTAATTAATTAATTATATTATTATAATAATTTCCTCTAAGTTGTGTTTGAGCAGATACCGTGTATTCACAACTACACATTCCCATATTTATAATTGTAGTTTTTCTGTATATTAAGTTCTCAAATTATCACCTGTAATCATAGGTAGAAATAGTGACTCTGCTAATACCTATTCTTGATATAGTTACCTACATACCGCGCGCGTTGCCATACATTAGTATTAACTAAAAGTGAGTGAACTGCTCATTAATTTTATTACCCATATAATAGCAATAACTTTAGCAATCTATATCATTTTATGATCATTCATATTTGCGTGCACAGTCCCACATTGTATGAACAAAGACTTTTTCTTATGGAGAAATATTGCAAAAATGTGATGATTATTATCGTTGCCATGAAATAATTTCGCATGTAGTATAGCAAAACTGCAGTCGTGTAAATATATATATTACCTATTAGTTCGTAAATGTAAAAAAATATAAGTTATATAATTATTTCGAGATATTATTTAAGTAAATGCTGAAACCTGTTATACATTCTTTCGTCATACATATAAATTGTATTTATTTAATAATATATTGTGAAATCTAATTGTGATGAGATATTTTAATGCCATTTTAGCCTGTCAGTATGTTACTTATTAAAAGTTATGTAACCAAATGATGCTAATAGCGTGTAAGATGTTTTATTCTTTATGGAGTTGTAGTTGAGATAGTTTTTTCTATTGTGTATTATGTAAAAGAAATCTGTATGAATTTATTAAAACATCACTTCGATGTCTACATTGAATTTCATTTCATGGGTCACCTGTGATATAGTTACTCCTTAATCAATTGAGTTGCAGATTTTTAGCTAGCCGCACATTTTTCGTCAGTTATGTTATCAGCCATTTATAGCGTATATCTTACACAATGTGCTATTCCAAAATTATTCGATCAACGCAACTACTGAAAAAAAAACAACCTGCGAAAATGCTTCTTTTGAGAGCAAGAACGGAAACTCACCAGAATAATGTTTTCTATGAGAGACTAAAATCCAGCCCGTTCCTCATATAAGTCGTTTCCAATATAAATTCCATAAATAAACCCCAGAGGGGTCCAGCCTTAGTAGGTCCCATTTTTTTGTGGGCTGAAAATCATCAAATAACTTCTTGTAAAGCGTAGGGTAAGGGAAGGGCGAGAGCGAGTTTTAGATTTACTAACCGCCCTCCCCCTGGTCCCCTCTTCTTGCTCCGACCCGAGGCCGCAGTACCTTATTGCACTTGGCCCGCCACCCTCGATGAACATTGGCCCTGCTGGGGCCCATCTGTGGTGGTCTATTGGCTCTAACGCACGCGGAACGCTACGCTCCGTATCCTCGGCTCTGGTTCAGGTTGGGAGGCGAGTTACCCCTGATCGCTATTCACAGACCTGCGCTTACGGTGTCTGTGGTGGTCCAACGGCCTTTTCGGACGGACGCCATTAGAGTCTCCTGAGACTTTTGGATACAGGACAGGTTCGTTATCATGATAGTTTTGTAGATGAAGGAGACGGTTCTCCTTGGCACCCTGAACCAAAGCTGGAAGTGAAAGGAAAACATAGCTGTGCTCCGCCTAAGTGAGGCACTCTATCAACGCATGGGTAAACACCCAGCTGATAGAAGATTCGATTCCTGCATGGAGAAAGTCGTGGTGTGATCCATACATAGTTGTTCAGTAATAGTAAGTAAAATTGAATTTGTCCAAACGCACCTATGTCACAGGACAAAATCCAAGTGTTAGGTAATTTTAAAAAAACTCCCGCAGCTATGGAAAGCACTTGCGCTAGTAAGACGAGTGCGAGTTGAGGTCGAGTCGAGGTGTAAAAGCCACTAGTGTACCCTAACTTTAAATTTAAACATAAACATGAATTAGATATTGAGATGAATATACTTGTGTATCAGTAATGATCATTTAACTGCCTGATCACGAACAAAACTTGGATAAACTTTCTGAACGAATAAATTTTTTTTTACAGTGATGACGGACAGCTTTATCCATTTGACATTGACATTTCGTCTTCGCGGGAAATACGATCTTGTTTATTATTGTTTTACAATCATAATTATTTTTACCATAATTTTATTAAATTTAACAACAAAATTATCTATAGCTACGCAAGCGTGAGGTCAAAACAAATGATAACCCTGAAATAGTCAAATTTAAACATCAAACGTACGTATTACAGTTGTTATAAAGTTAACACTCAAGATTTGCTCAAAAACAGAAATAGATAATCTTGTCAGTTGAACGAAAATACGTTTGTTTTCATTTGATAAGATTCCAGATAAAATGTTATAACAATATTCCTGTAGTGGTTTTTCATACAGTTGTAAAAGTAGATACGCTAAGGCTTACTGTCCGCAAAATGGTTAATCGTAAAAGAGTGTTTGATTTACTTCGAACAATCAACGTTGCGTCGTAAGTGTATAAATAAAAATTTGGTTACATATGTATATGTTTAGAAAATGAAGGTTGTTTGGTGACCGAATTGTGGTTTTTTTTTCCTTTTTAGATGTCAGTGTCCAGCGCACGGAAATCGCGGCAATATTCAAGTATCGAATGCTACTCCGCAGAAAGACTATGCTTTTGAAGTAAGTTTAGATTATAGTTATTAAAATAGTATATGCTATATTTTGCACTACAAGTTGTTATCAAATATTGGGTTTAGGTACCTAAATATTTGATGCTACATTAATATTTTCTTATCAATCTTAAATGATTTATTGACAACTTTGTATGAACTTTGCCCTTTAACAAAACTGAGTCTTTCCATTACGTAAATTTTTGTAGGTATACCTATTCTGTAATTTGGTTAGAAACCAACTGTTGCTACTTTCAGATAAAGTGCTCAACTGTAAGATATGGATTGGGGGTGACTCGGGAGGTTGGCCAGGACTTGGTCAACATGAATGCAAAACATGTTTGTGTTATGACAGACCCTAATGTTGTCAAAATGGATCCTGTGAAAGCTACATTAGACTCACTCACTAGGAACGGAGTCAATTATAAAGTGTATGACAAGGTTCGGGTAGAGCCTACAGACACAAGGTTAGTTTAAATGTGTAAATTATTGGGAAGAGAACTCCAAGAGCATACAGTAATACATACATTGTTTATTTTCCAATCTTTGCAATAACAACACACACATTTACATTTTGGCCGGAAAGTTGATAATAAACACTTTTGATTTTGTGATATTATTATTAATGTTAACTGAAGTCGATGTAAATCCCTTACATCAACTGGTATAATAGGTAACATTGATAATATTTTCCGCAGTTTTAAAGATGCAATAGCATTTGCAAAGGAGAACAGCTTTGACAGTTTTGTGGCTGTTGGAGGTGGTTCCGTGATGGACACATGTAAAGCAGCCAACTTGTACTCTACGGACCCTGATGCCGATTTCTTGGACTATGTGAATGCCCCAGTTGGCAAAGGAAAGCCTATCAATGTTCAGTTGAAACCTATGATTGCTAGTAAGTTATTCGAAATACATACATACCTGGTTTAGTCTGCACAGTTATTTAATAAGCAAGTCTGTAGGAACGTTAATTCAGTACAGAAACAGCAATTATGGGTTCAGTATTGCTTTATAAAATGAATGTTGTGTACCTGTTCTGCTCTGAGTCAATCTTCATACTGAGTAAGTTTGAATTACGTAGGGCCAAAGTAATCCAAATTTATTTTACAGTACCAAATAATTGCGTTGTTTATTATGCAATTGATATAGTACTAGTCTAGTATTCCAATTATAATATGAGGTAATTAAGTTTGCTATAATTGCTTAAAGGTTTATCTTCACCTTTATTGACATTGATTTTGTTTGTTGTTTTAATTTGAGCATTTAACATCTTTATTTATAACAACGCCATCTATTGTAAATATTGTTACCGTGTTTTTGGCGCTAAAGTTGAAGTTTTAGGTCTATAAAATTGTCTACTGCGTAATTAACTATTAATATTATTTAATAGTTATGATTATTTGTTGTCCTAGTTCCAACAACTAGTGGTACAGGCAGCGAGACGACTGGCGTCAGTATCTTCGACTACGAATCCATTCATGCTAAGACTGGCATATCCCATGGCGCTCTACGACCAGTGCTCGCTATGATCGATCCTCTACATACCCTTACTATGCCTGAGAAAGTAAGTCATTTAAACTTATAAATTACTGCCTACAATACTATACCTACAAATGATATGCTAATAACTGTATTTATTTTCATACACCTACGTGTTTTAAATTTTTCCATTTTTAGCTGACGGATTGAATAGTTTTTTGATTTTTATTTCGTGTCATTGCCCCTATTTGGCTTAATAATACGGCATTAAGAATTTGGGAAAGAATTAATCTTCTTTAGGTAAAATAATAGGTAAGTAAGTTAAGAGGGTGTTGTTGGAAGAGACACTTCTCCAACATAAGCAGACCCAGCTTGATTTACCTTGCTGTCCCTCCACAATGTCCCCGCTGAGCCGATGTACGAAACCCCCCACAGGGAGTGCCCTCAGCAATGCAGTCATTTAGCTTAAAGCAAAAAGAGAGCAATTGAAATAAAACACATCGAAACAATATCTACGCAACACCCTGTGTATCAACACAATAAAATAGATAATTATATATGTAGCGTGCTAAGCTACGAGTCCTGATACAAAAAAGTAATACTACTGCTTATATTACTGCTTCTTAGGTATCCAACTATTCAGGCTTCGATATATTCTGCCACGCACTGGAGAGTTTCACAGCAATCCCGTACAATGAGAGGAGTCCAGCACCACCCAACCCGGCGCTAAGACCAACATATCAGGGCAGCAACCCCATATCCGATGTATGGGCGAGATTCTGCTTACAAGTAAGTCCACTTTTCCACATTCACTAGGTACCTAACATTATTCCGTTTAATCGATCATTTAATCTTATAAAGTTACCATCGTAATCACACATCTAGAGCACCCAGGTTCATTGACGGACAGACTGATCGATAAATTCAACGTTGACATTTCTAAATTAATTGAATTTTGAAATAAATGCTTTGATTTGGCCACTTTACAAATTACACTGTCTGTTATACATACTTGAGGCCTATCTCAGGGCCCTAGACTGCCTTAGAGGATGAATTAAAATGATGGTACCTACTCAATATCTTTAGGTATTGCTTTACCATGAGTGACTTCATATAAAGATAATAATAGTCTCACAATTTGTTTGAGATCAATTAATATCAATTAATTATTAATATCCCTTTTGGGCCAGCAAAATAGGGCAACAAGTGAGAGGAGTCGGGTAGAATAAAATGTTAATATTTTCTCACACAAACGATCTTTTACGAGATCATATTTCAAGGATCTTATAATAATCTATTAGGTATATAGGTTGCAATAAAAACAAGCATATAATGTACCGACATGCCTCTTCATATCTATATCGTAATCTAATTATGATCTGATGCACAGTGACACTGCAATTGTATTAAGTAAGTTAGAAATTAATTACACACTAACTTACCTAACCATTACAAAATATTTGTAACAATAAGGAATATCCATAATAGTTGTTCAATCAAAGGGATTGTTTTTCTGGAATTAGTAAAATCAACCTTGTATTTGTCGCTATGAAGTTGGGGATAATTAAGTTATTATTCTAAATTAGCGAAATACATTCTAATTAATACATTCATAGTGTATGTGAATTTTTGTTTGTAAAAGCACCCACGAAGCAGGAGAAAATCCTAATTTGGAACAACATTTAATAAATAAAAGTTATTGTTAAAAGGAAAACTATTAATAAGTATTAATTATCATTAATGAAACAACAACGCATTGTTTTCCGATTTTCACTATTTTTTATTATTGCACAGGTAAGTACTAAGAAATTGGAACCATATTTAAGATTTTCCTTCCTCAAAACATTATACATACATTCATCCATATAGGCACTAATGTTGTATAATTATTTATGTGTAGTTTAACTTAAACTAACCAAGTATATGGTATTGGTACTTGGTAGAGGTAGGTAAGTCAACAATCGAACCAAAGATTCTATCATTGAGGAAAAATGATTCCCGTGATTATTATAATGGCCTATGTAATTACTGATACCGGTTTTTATGAAAGAACCGATTTTTTATATGTAAGTATAACAAAGTGATTATTTAAATATGTGTGTGTACCAATGATGTCCTAATGAAGAATTTACTCGTAAATCATTATTAATAACAATAATTTATTGCTATATTCAATGTCATCGGCTTATTCGAATAGATCACCGTGCCTTAAATTTTCTGGGACATGCGTCTGTGGCCCTGGTGTGTAGTGTAGGTAGTAAATTTTATGAGCACAAGATCTGCATATTCATTACGTTTGGCATTAGTAAAGGCTTAAAGTTGGTGTTGGCTGCAAAATATTTTAAAGACCCAGATTACTTTTTGCACTTTAAACTTGTGGCGTGTTGTCGATCATACTTGGTATAAGTCTATCCTAAGATGCATATTTTCGAAGGTGAGGATAAATCTGCAAGGGTCCTCTGTTTCTTCATGAGGGTTAAGGTTCTGTTTAGATCGCCGGAGCCAGTCAGTCGTCCAATAAACTTCGAACTAAGAAAACGCGTATCATTTTGCCATCACACACATTTGACCGTAAAATTATAACTAAGTATATTATACTTACCATATTTTTATGGTTTATGACGGTTAACGAGCATTCGGATTACTTGATGGCAAGCAATCGGCGCCGCCCATAAACACCTAACACCAAAGAAGTTACGAGTGCAGTGCCTTCCTTTTGTATAGCATATTATTATAATATCAATTCTCTTCTTTCTCAGACCCTTCAGAAATACTTTACCCGTTCGGTGTACAACGCTGATGATTTGGAGGCACGTTCGTGCATGCATCTTGCTGCGACGATGGCTGGTGTGGGCATCGGCAACGCTGGGGTGCATTTGTGCCATGGTCTCGCTTACCCTATCGCTGGAAACGTCAAGTCTTTCGTACCTAACGATTATGGGTAAGTTGTCTTCTTGAACATTATGAGAAGAAGAAAGTGTGCTTCCTTGCCATCAAATGAGTTGTTTTGTCTTGATAACACATTCCGGTTCATAACTTTTATGTTACCGAAGTAAAAACGAGAATATATCATTCTAAACCGGACTATCTATATTGAGAATTGGCTGGTCTAATGACCTCAATTGATTCAAAGTAACTTATACTGAAAAACCTAGCAATCTGGTGTTTCCCATTGACTTCAATTATTGTGACCCGTTCTGTATCCATACCTATATTAGTTAACCAACCCGTTTCTGCACTATTGAAGTGTTGGTTGATAACTGACTGAAAAATATCACCCGCAGTGAATAAGTTGTCAAAATTATGTAGGTACCTTTTATTTCTTATCTCTATCACCTGGGCTTCGACAGATAAATAAGTGACTTCAGATAAAATTGTTTACAATATTTGCAATATAACAATATTTGCAAACTGCAAATAATTTTACAAAGAAAATGCATCAATGCAGTAGATAATTCAACATTTATGAGTTTGCACATGTATATTGAATGCCTAAGGCTTTGGGTCCGCCATTGTACGCTGTGTAATCAGAAGTGTTGATTAAAATAACACTAAATTCAAAAGCACATTAATAAACATTTATAAGTTATATTACTGCATGATACCTATCTTTAATGATGAGTCTAATCCCTATTATATACCACGTGTCATTTAACATAATATGGAATGCTAATAAAGAATTTGAATCCAGAACATGATTTAATAGTAAAATAGTATTAAAACAAATACCCACTTCAGTGCAGATCCAATAATCCCGCATGGACTATCAGTAGTAATGACAGCGCCTGCAGTGTTCCGCTTCACGGGACCTAGTGACCCGGCCAAGCATTTGGAAGCTGCGAGCATCCTTGGAGCTGACGTCTCGAACGCGAAGCAAGCCGACGCAGGCAAAGTCTTAGCTGACACTATTCTTAAGTACATGGATACTATGAAGATTGAGAATGGACTTAGTACTCTCGGCTACACTAGAGAGGACATTCCTGAGTTAGTCAAAGGAGCATTACCACAGGTATATTACAGTTTTTGCTTTAAAATTCATGTTTTCATGGCTACTTGTATTCCACCATTCTTTACTGGGCCTCATAAACTGACTTGATATATTATTAGCTATAGCTTGTTGTTTTGATAATACGACCCAGTTGAATTGGCATATTTCTAGTTTAATACTCGATTATTTAGGCCAACTTATAGATGCTATGAATATAACCAACATCTGTTGTTAATATTACGTCAATGATTAGCTAATTGTGAAATATGTAATGTCGTTTATTTACTTTATTAACCGCAAAATAGTAAAGTTGAATGTTGTTTCAGAAACGTTTGTTGAGTATGACGCCGCTACCGCAGACGGAAGAGGATTTGTCCAAGTTGTTAGAAGACTCGCTCACTATTTACTAAGCTCTAGTCTCCGACCACAATGTTTAGAAGATATTACGAAATGTACATAAGATTCTAGGTATATTTACTTGGTGCTGGATATTTTTAAACTAAAATTTGTTATGACTACATAATGTGGTCTCTGGTTTTAAACGTTTATGTTTATAGGTTAAGTAGTTTATACTATTCTGATGTACCTACTGTTTAATAAGTAATAAACATTAAAAAAATATTTTTTAAATTTTATTTTCTCATTACCATTTAAATCGTCAGACTGGATAACAAAAACAACAATTAGTGTTTAATTTTTAATAATTTTAAGTACATAAAATAAACCTATCAACTAATTTGTATAATATATAATATGTATAATCTTAAATTAATTTGTAATTTGACTTCATTTGTTACTTTAATATTCTGAAAGCGCTAGATTGAAAACATTGTCGCGATTGTTCGAGAGTGATCGTAAAGGCACTGTACTAAGAAATGTTTGTTAGATATGTATTCGGCTGTGACTAGCGCTTACAACTATCACTTACTGCTTATGTAAGAGTTAACGCAGTTGTTAGTACTTAAAGAGTTTAAACTCTGACATGTACGTTTTTGTTCAATGTGCCTCAGACGGCCTCTGGCACGATGTTGCTGTGGTGGAATGGACTACTCTCGTAGGACATGTTAGACGCGTTCACCGTCACGCTGTGCAGCGGCGTGTAGCGGCTCAGCTTGGGTGTTGTGGGGCCCACCAGGTCCTCTGTCAACTGCTGGTACACTAGCCCGCAGTCTTTCTTTGTGCGTCCAGCCTGGTTCATAGCTGCGATGAGAGCACTGTTATATCTAATAGGCTGTGTCCTCTTAGTGCATACCATCATCACGACCTTGGCAATAACAATGAGCAGCAGCAGCGCGCCCAGAATGGCGATTGAAATCGGCCACAAGTACGCGTAGTGGCTGTGTTCCTCCTCATCTTGAGTGGACGCTTGCAAATACAAAGTATTTGAGGCATCTTCTTCACTAGTTTCATTTTCAAGTAATTGGATATTGATTTGTACGTCATCGGTAACAGATGCGGCTGTGCTGGATATTGGTACTGGGCTTGAGACGGCAGGCTTTGGTGAGGTCTTATCAAGCAGTTTCACTTTGAGTTCAACGTCATCGTCTTCGCCGTCGTAGTCCTCGCCCGCATCGTCCTCGTCCTCATCTTCATCATCGTCATCTGCAGAGTCCTCGTCATCTTCATCATCCTTGGCTTCATCATCAATCATATCGTCCAAGAACATATCCTTTGGAGTTTTACTGTCATCTAATGTGTTTTTCAAATCGAAATTGCCCTCCTTATCGGTATCAATTCTCTCCCAGATCTCTTCATCAGAAACAGCGGGCAAAGGTTCCACTGGGTGCACAACGGCGGCAGAGCCACAAGTCTTGCGAGTAAGGAACTCCCAGCTGTATTCGCCAACGTCCTCGTCTTTACCGTCTTTTGCTAAGTTAGCGATGCTAGCGCTTCCGCTCGCGTTAGGAGACACTTTACGGTTGCTCAACCAAGTCATGAGGTTCTCAAAGTCATGGCTGCAAGCAAGTGGGTTGTTACTAATATCGAGAGCGTTAAGTTTGTTTAAGTGGTCAAGTTCAGTCTGCTTGATCTCGGTAATACGATTGTGTGAAACATTAAGGAATGTTAAATTGCTCAAAAGCGTGGGTGAGCGGTTCTTGTCTGCTTTCCATAATGAGGTCAGCTCAGCGTGGCTCATGTCCAGATAGGTAATCATTGGCGTATGAACAAATACTTCGGCGTTCAGTACTTTCAGTGGGTTTCCTTGGAGGTACAGTTTGCCTAGTTCATTGTTTTTCTCAAACACTTTTGGGTCCAATGTTGTGAGTTGATTGTAGGAAAGGTTAATCTCAACGAGTTTGGGGCACATTGTGAAAACTTTAGTTCCGATAGACTTGATTTCGTTATTAGACAGGTTTACCACAGATAAAGCTGAGAATGTCCTTAGAGAGTTATCGTAAATCTCCTGCAGGCCACAGTGGGAAGCATCGAACAAGTAAATGTTGAATTGATCTACAGAGCACTCAAATCCTTCAGCGGGCAAGTGTTTCAACTTGGGATTGTTTGAAATTTTGAAGATGTCTAATTCAATATTTTCTTTAATGAGAATGTTGGAGACGAAGTCCAGGTTGTTATAGGAGAGGTCAAGGTAGTTCAGTTCTACGAGTTTATGGAATGCTTGGTTGTGGATTTTCTCAATGCTGTTACCGCTAAGGTTAAGATTGGCAATGTAAGTCATACCATTGAACATAGAGGGCCCTACAAATCTAATCTTAGTCTGCCCAGCGTTGAGAGTGAGCAAGTCTGAGATTTGTAGTCCGTACACGGTGTCTACAGGGTTCCTTGAGATGTGAAGAGTAGCGAGTTCGTTGTTTTCTGAGAAGATATCGTCGGGCAACGATTTGATGTCATTGTCGCTAAGGTCGAGTTCTTCCAAATCCAGGAGTTTCTTGAAAGTGTTAGGATCCATATTTGACAAATTGTTACCTGCGAGGTTCAGGTACATCACACCGGGCATGTTCGTGAACGTGTTAGCCGCGATGTATTTCATGTTACAATACGAAATGTCAAGCTCTTGAATCGATGACGTATTTAAGAAGTAATCTTGAGAATCCGCAGCTGGGAATTTCAGAGGGTTATTCGCCAGTGTCAGCAGAACTAACTTTTTGTTGTGTGCAAATGTTTCTGGATGTAGAACCCTTAGCTTATCGTTAGACAGATTAACTGCGTACAGGTTCGGAAGGCCGTGGAATGCATTAGGTTCAACAACATCGATCGAGCTGTTGACGATCTTTACTGTTGTAATCTGGTGGAGACCGAGTTTCTTGAAGATGAAGTCTGTCAGCTGAATGGGGAACCGCGGGTCTGCATTTTCGATGACAAGGTCAGTGATGTCGTCACCGAACTTCTGTGTGCCGATTTCAAGACGATCACACTTGGCTGTTCTGTATCCTTGAGATACAGTGCAGATGCAGTCCCTTGGGCACGGTCTGTTCTCATTGTAGAGCACTTCCTGGTCATCAGCCGTGTCGAGGTCGTCGTACTGGAACAGGAAATTGTCGGCGTCTTCTTTTTTCTTGCCGTCTGCGACCTTGCTGACAGACTCGCTGAGTGCTAGTGCGCACACTGCCAGGAGCAGAATCAACTCCCGGGACCTCGCCCCCATTTCGTAGTGAACTCTGGAAAAAACAAACATGTCGAATTACTTTCTAGGATAAAAAATAAACTATTACATCAATTATGAAATTTTCTACTAACACGAGGTAGGTCACGTTTACAAATAACAGTAGTAAGAAACAATGGTTTGAACAATTTCTTTTTGTAAATCAGTTGGTTGCGTGTTAACAATACGGTAACACAGCCTTGTTTCAGACTGAACAATGAAAAACAACATTCGCGAATAGTCCTTTTGACCGTTACTTTTGAGCTAGCAGATAACACGTGTGGGTAATTATTAAAAATGTATTGAATCTCTAGGATTTAATACGTCACACGTTGTAGTAAACAGTGCATCTGTTTACAGCCTGCCAGATATATCTCCGCGTATCTTGATTGTTGAGTACCAATTAATAAACAGACGGTGGACAGATGTTGTAGCTTTGTTCGGGCGAAATCTTATCTGCGCTTTGTCCATCTGTCGGCCTGTGTCGTGACTCGCAACATGTGCTATAAAATGGATAACTTGTGATTCTACTTTGTATTAAAACAGGACTTTATTGTTGGATACAGTAATGAATTGTCATCTGTGGACAATTTGTGACAATGGCTTATTCATGGATATGAAATATACAGGAATTTTGGGATCAATTTCTTATAGTATTTCCACTTTCACTAGTTTTATGTGGTTATTAGACGCCTTCCCTTTATTGTAACCTAACCTGTTCGTGAGGGTCATTTTTGTTATGGTTTGTTAAAGTTGAAAAAAAGAAAATAGTTCGTCATTTAAAGTTACTTTTATTCCAAAAATAATTTTTACTTTATATTATTATTATTTGAATGATAAGTAACATTTGTTTTAAGCATTTTGTTGTGCTATTGATATTTTGTTTGCTGATTTGAAAAAAGGATCGCTAGCTAATTATGTGATTTCTCGCAATTTCATTTACATCGGTACGATTGTCTACTTACATTATATATTAAACGTTCCAAGTGGATTGAGTCTCGCTTACAAATATCAATAGATACTTAATACATATAACTGGACAAGTTTCGCACTAGTTTATTATAGAAAGTTGAAACACTTTCACATAAACCACAACACAATATGTCACGGTACACAATAGCGTTCGGGATTATATTAACACTCGGCTTGGCTCACTCGGAAGAAATAATATTTGTCCTGAGATAATTACGCGAGAGGTACACAGCGGGCGAGTGTTTTGTAGACGTGTGACGCGGCGCCCGATCGCCAACCGACTAACTTCATTTTATATTACATTTTATTCCGACACTACAATTTGGAATTTTGCAGCGATCGCGGTGACGGTGATTCACGAGTCGCTAAAACATTAATTTGATGTTTGTTTACAAGCCGAGGTCACGGCGATTGTACCTATCGTGTCGCCAATTGACGTTAGATTTCAGACAGAGAACATATTATCTCCTAAAATCAATCATATCACTGTAGTTGATATTTTTAGTAGGCATGTCTATATCTATGTATTGCGTATATTCACCGATAGGACAGGTCATTGATTTTTACCTCTATTGAGGGAGGTGAACTGAGCGAGTACAAAGCGAGACTATCAAATTGATGCGACACATCTCTTCGAGATAAGAGATAAGATAATTTTTGACGAGCTCTGGAGAACACAAAGAGTATAGATACATGTATATATGCGTGCTTATGTACCTATAGGTAAGTATAAAGTATACTAGTCAGCCCAATACAAAAGGAGCAGGAGCATATTAAAGTAGGATTACTGAATTAGGTATAATTATTTGCCCAAAGTTTTTTAGTTTTAGGACAAGATAAATACAATTTTAATGTTAAAACTGCAGACGATATAAAATCAACTGCTACACACATTATTCCTATTTTCGAGGCTATGTTCCAATTGAATTAATTAACCTACCTACTTGTTAATATTACTTTGCCACTACCATTGATAACGTAGGTAACAACCATTGCGCCAGGTAAATAGTTTTAGTGGCAACATTTTTTTATAATCGACATAAATTCCGATCTGAAGATAAACGGCTTAATACTTATTAGGCCTAGTTATTGTTTGAACAATGCGATGTCTGCCACTTACAAACAATGGACAAAATCAAGTCTATAATGTTGTTTCTAATCTATTCACGAATAAGTGAAGAGAAAATAAATAAGTACCTAGTAGGTACCGTTGTCGCATAAATTGGAGTATGTATTCTTAAAAGAATCACTAAAACGAGCCTTTGTTCTGAATGATATGATCTAATGCAAATAAGCCATAACTTTATGATATTTAAAGACCTAATTTATAGTAAAAATGGCGTACTTTCAAGAATAATAGTGTGAAAGCATGAAACTAGTGCCAGAGCCAAGTAGAGAAAATGTATCCTTTTAAAACGTACCTACTTTCTATTAAGAAAATGTTAAATGGCATACAACAGACTGAGTGATAAATAGCAGTAAAGAATAATAAAATGGATGACCAAAATTCATAATACTACAAAAACGACTATTACTACCTACTATTTTAAATCTAAAAGATAAAATGGCGTTTGAAAATTAGGTACAGAAAAAAGTGAACACTAGCAGGGAAAATACGGCATCAATAATTACGGCAAATAGCACCTGAGCAGAAACTGCGGGTTGTCACATGTTATGTTTCCCTTCACGATTGCTGAGAAAGTAATCTGATGATGCAATTTACTGGAGTACCGTGTAATATATTCAACATAACAACCATTACAGTTTCATGTTCTGTAATAATTTTGTAGTTTGTGTGGAAACACCGTGGCCCTATGTTGAGGGTATATATATAGGCGATCATAATACCTGTCTCATCTCATGTGTGCTATTATTTTTAATTTTTAATAAAAACTAGTTAAGTATACGTATGTACCCATGTAATAATGTAAAATCTGCTCATAATATTACATATTATCCGATTTCCTAAACACGTATCTGTGAGATTGATTATAACTTATAAGAGTCACAACTAACGTCATACCTTACTAGCAACACAGCGTCAATCGTCTAATTAGTATTTCCCTTAACAAAGCATAATCTTGTAGGTCACGCGACCTCCTAGAAACCGATAATAATTTGCAGACTTCGGCACAGATACGTACGTAATAAGCCCATCCCCATGTAACTACAGTAAATCATTAATGAGTATTTGCATAGCCCTAGCTTTACGAACAATGTGGAATAACGATACCGAAAGCGACTTGAACACAGCGCTGCATATTAAACGTACGCAGTTAGATGAATGATTTAGTTTGCATACAATCGTCGTCGGGGGCCGCCCTGGCCGTAGTGACGCGTTGGGGCGTGCAAAAATGCATAGCCCATGTCTGATGGACTGACATATTTAATAATCCCGACCTCAATCGATTCACATGACGATATTTATCAAGAAAACAAGTCGAACCTTACAACTTTTTTACTTTACTATTGTCGTCATTGTGTAGGATTTCCCCGGTAGAAATCAGATGCTTGGATTTTTTTAATGGAAGAGTAATTTTTTATTGTCCTTAAATCAAGTTTTATGCCGTCCGGTAAAACCTATCTGTTTGTTAGTGAAAGGAAGTTCCTATTTAGGCTGGACGATTTGAGAGAACGAAAAGGTTTCCACATAAAAAAATTGAACTATACTCATAAGGTGATTATTGCACAAACGAGCAGGCAACGCGCAGATAAACACCAAAATCCTTGCAAATTTTAGAATACCTATGTTAAATTAAGTACTAAATTGTGTTTGCGATTAAGTAACAACGGCCTTGGGATCTTGCACGTTTCATCAGACATTATGGGCCTGCAAGATTACCGTTTATCCACGGATACCTAAATATGACGAAATATTTTTCGATGAGTCACTAATTTATTAATGTTATCAATTTTACGTTGCGCAATGTTAATGCTAGTGGCCAAGTCGTTGTGACGGGTTGCGGAAGCCAACGTAGTTAAGTATATCATAATCATTACCTACGACTGGATTTTGGGTTTTTTATGTGATAAGGCGGCAAACTAGCAGACGGATTACCTGATGGTAGGCAACCAGGGCCACCCATAGACACACGGTACAACGGAGGAGTTACGAGTGCATTGTCTACCTTTTGACGATTAGTGTTTCGGAGATTAAGGGATTGCAACGCTGCTTTTGGTTCCAAATTTTTTGACTAAGTAGTAGCTTCTTAAATAGGATTTTTCGTTTTTTAATTTAGTTCAGTAGTTACTTTTTTGATAGGACTAATAAACTTGAAATAGAAAGTAGATTAATGTGTATTATATACTAGTGAGCAATTTTCTAATAATGTAATTATGAAGACTGCTATTAATTATTGCAATGGGGTTTATCTTCTTGTAAACATCACAACAAACATACGGAAATTTTCTAAGTAATATAGGTAAGTATCTATAATGAGAATGTTTAGAATTGAAATTAATAAATAATGTATACAGTGTTATGTATCAGATAATTTTCCCCTACGTAGGATAATACATGTGGTAGTGTGCAGAGTATAGGCCACAGGGCAGAGACTATCCTATTACAGTGCCATGTGCAACATACCTACATAATTATATTAATAATGTAGGTACATATGTAGATTTATACCCAAGTTAAGACAATAGTTTCTAAAATCTCGAAAATTCTAGAAAGTTATTTCTTAGCCTTAGCCTAAGAATATTACTGATGACAATAACGTGGATAATCTCTCTCTCTCTCTCTCTCTGCTTATTTCTCTCTATTTCACCTTTGAAAAACTTATCAGTAGTAGCAACAAAGTCTAAGAAAGAAAGTGCACATATGAATATGACACTAGCAGACCCGGCAAAATACGTACCGCCTTAAAATTAACAAATGCATTCCGTCCTTTTCGGTCCTGCCGTTTTCGAGTTTCAGTGAGACTGACTAACAGTTTTTCATTTTTATAAATAAGAAGAGAGGAGAAGAATTAGGATAAGCGGAATAGATAGCGGGTTAAGAGATTGACTGAGCATCGGATGTTTCACATTTGCATTATTCCTTCGATATGTTAAACAGGAATAGTCTAGAGTCTAGACGAAGACAATTTTTTTTCATCTTTTCTGTTAACTTTATTGATAAGGCAAGTCTCTAAGTATTTTTTAGTTTTTTTTTTGCTGTAATCTGTAATTGTCTCGCGTTGACAGCGAAAGGATAGGTACGCGTTTTTTCAGGGCTTGATTGCTTTTAAAGGCTTCCAATAATTATTAATTTATTGAAGACAAACTGAGTTGATGTTTCCTTATTATAATTTCACATAGGTACATAGTTTTCGTTTATATTCCGTGATATAATATTACTTCCAAGAATTTCTATGATTAGGTATAGGTAATATCAGGTTACCTTATAAACATGTTATGCAAATATTGTATTATTGTAATTACATAAAATTTACATACGTAGGTAAGTACTTAGTACTCACGCTTAGATATTGTTTGTTTGTTTATCAATACTCGTAGTAAGTATACATATGTACCCAAGTATACATACATATAGATAATTGAATATTCGAATTTATGCTCGTAACTTAGGTTCTGCGCATTACTTTGTTTATTAATAAATTGTTGTAACAATGTTTCGTGAATAATTACGGAAAGTTTGTTAAGTAAATTAGTAGTAGGTAGTTATCCGTTCATCCTAAATTGGTAGGTATATCTGATTATCTTGTACGAATAAACCTTACTTGTAATATGGTTTTGAGTTTTTAAGTTGATGGATGTTTTTCCTTACGAAGGTTACGTTGAAAATATCCAGAAGGTTTCTTTTAAAAGGGACCAAGAGAAATTGTCAGGCTTTTACTGAGTAAAACTTTAAACAAAGCTATCCGTTCTGCTACTGTTACATTACTGCCCCTTTTTACTCAAAAGCCTGTGTATACACATATATTGCCTTGTTTATTATTACTCAACAATATGAAGTTTTAAAGTTACGTTTATCTCCAGTTATGCACCTTATCCTTTTTAAGAATATTTTCATTTCACAACGGATCTCTTATTGATCAGCAGCATAGTTTAGGTGGTTGTGTAGGTTTCTTCATGTGTATGTGTAAGTCTGTCGATAAATAAATAAGTCAACATACCTATTGCCTTGTTCAGCTATCCAATAACTCGTTATTTATATATCTGAAACAAAAAAAAAATTAACATTAGTTGTTGATTTTTAAATAAATATTTGTTATAATAAACTAGCAGACCGCCCCTGCTTCGCAAGGGTACCTGACTACTCTGGCGTCAGTCATTTGTTTTCCAAGCGAACTGCTACAGCGTTGAAAGGGTTGTTAATAACCGCTATTCCCCTTTACTTTTCTAAAAATTTCTTTCGTAAGAACATTTTTCTTATAATAACGAACATAACAAAAAAATAATTAGCAAAATTGGTCCAGGCGTTATTGAGTTATGCGCTTACCAACACATTTTGCGATTAATTTTTATATTATAGATAATTAAAGTGAGTCCTGTTCCTGGAACAAATAATATTATGAAACATAAGATTAGATTTCATATTTTACCAATTAAGGAAAATCGAATAGATAGATTGATAGTTGCAAGTTTTTAAGACCTCTATTTTAGTTATTGACGTCAGAACATTGCAAATCTAGAATGTATTTACATGAATGCGGGCCACTGTTGCTAGTTTTAAAAATAAAATGCAAACTGCGAATCAATAAAACATATGGCATGGGTCACCGGCCAAATGACGATCAACCGCTCAGTGTTCCGATTATTATATCGATTCATATCAATAATCGAGTTGGTACCGTGCGTAAATTATATCGATGTATCGATACGCGAGCACGGGATGGGCGTGGCTAGTCGAGTGGCAAGTACTGAGACTAGTTCTAGCTTGGCTGGATACCTCGGTTTGTTGAGGAATATAAAACGAAATTTTATTTCCCATTCACTGCTCATTTGTTTTTATGACGATTTGTAATAAAATGGAATGTGAAATTGGCACTTGGATTGAAAACGAAGAAAACCATTATAGTTGATTTAATCTGTTAGTTTCAATTTATAAATAATTTTAATTATCTATTTGGAAGGTTTCATAAAGGGAACATTTACCATTGTGGGTTTGTGTCAGTGTCAATAAATCGCTGTGCCAAGATTTTTATTGCACGCACAATGGAATAATTGATAACGGAAGAATGCAGCGTAAAGGAAATAGGTTTGTGTGATTGTTGCGGTTGACCAAATGCTTTGTATTGGAATACAGGGCACTGTTGTCATGGTTTTACTGAGAAATTTGTAAACGACTTGTAAACTGTTTTCTCCAAATTAACGAGAATTGACCTATTTCTATAAGAACCACAAACTTTATGATACAGTTGTTTATTCGCTTAAAAAATAACAAATATAAAATTCGTATTGACTACGCAAGATTCTATTAATGGAAATGACCCACTACTAAATATTTGATATCGAAATTTCCGTAGACGGTGACCGCGCACAATGATATGTCACACGTCATCATAACAGAACCTAATTCAGATAATATGTACCGCAGCGGTCATTAATGATTAACAGACTCAATTCGAGACATCACATGCCACAGACAATCAATTAGTTAAACCTGCGTCCGACTGTTGCCTTGAATGCTGAATAAGGTCGTTAAATCTTGTCGCGACGGGAATTATAATGCATGCCTTAGCCTACCGTTAATATTCTACCAAAATGGCTACCAACCTTAGTCGATTCCGACTACACAGATAATATAATCGACTAGCCGCTCGTTAAATTGTCAAAGCAACACTATTTATTATGTAACGAAGCAATTTATTGCTGTCATGAGCATTTATTTAGATGCTTAATCAATATCCGTATAGTATTAGCACATGTTCAGCTTATAAATACAATAACCGCATTGATTCTAATGATTGGAATACTCAACAATATCAAGCCTATGGCGGTGTTTTCATTGTTAACTGCGATTGCTACGAACGAAATTGAGCCTACACGTACCTATAAGGCTACATTAATTTACGCTCACATCATAAATAAGTGTTGCTAGATTTATGTAAGATCTCGTTTGAAACTAGATCTTTTACTGGTTCAGCTTAAATTGGTTTAAACGCAGATATATGAGATTAAATATTTTACAAAGCTGTTTAAGTGTAGCCCTTAGAAAAAATATTTATTCATAATACTAATGGTGCTTTGGAAACATCAAATTAAACGAAGCACGACCCGTATACCGCATCCTGTCTATAAGCCATAAGTGAACTATTTTGATTTGTTCTCTTTATGGCGTTGACGGCCTAGTCTCACTGCCTAAAATGGCTCTGCTATACAGCCAGACTGAGGCACACATCGTCTTTGTACTGATTTATAGCTTACTGTCGGTCATTAAAGAAAGTCCGATTTGCCTGATCAAAGTCTTAAAGCTATTTTTTTATGTTAAACCATTGTGTTTAACACTTGTTAGTATAAATTAAGGAAATGACGGAAAAACAAAGTCTGCAGTGACAAAGCAGGAAAAACAACGTTCTTTGTTATTGAAAATAGATTTTTTATCAATGAAGTCGTTCATGCAGGTAATTAGGCGAATTTTGTTTATTACGATTCGTTAGAGATATACATAAGTATTTTTGAACGTGTTAAATTAACAAATACCTAATTATTCTCATTCAACCAATTTCATAATTTTGTACACCTTTTTTGTAGGATTTAGGCTGACATTTGACTTCATGACAAGGAAAATAAAAAAAAAACTAGTGACGTTGTTTAAAAATAAAAACTCGGATACTCATAAATATATTTCCAATATGAAACTTAACAAAAGATTTATTGTTCACCAACAGCATTGAGAATGTTCTTGAACATTACAATAATACGAACGTTTTCAGCCTAGAAACAAAATAAATGTTTCATAAACACATAACTCTCTGCTTCGATATTTAAATATGGAAGCAAAAGTACCAACTTATATGTACATACCTACATGTTACTACCTATACATATGTAGATATGTCTACATACTTTTTGAATTTTACTCTAATTGTTTTTTTTTATTAAAGAACATGTAACACTAAGATGAGGTCATAATCTATCGAGTTTCTATTGGTACATTAGGTGCTAGCTCATGTGTGTTATTTTTTACTTAGAAATCAAGCGAAGGCGCAAAAAATTCAGGTGGCCCATAAAGTTTGGTGCTACTCAAGCATTGTATGGAACTTTTTTCTCTCATAGATCTCGTAATAGTGAACATGGTCGAACAACGTGTAGCTTACACGCTGTAGAAGGCATTTGGTCCAAAGTATTAATAACAATATTGTCAGTAATTCGAAAAAATATATATTTCTACTTGTTTATTCAGTGGGACATATGTTTGGATCACCTGACGGTAGTTATTTAAAGAAATACCTGCATTACATTAATTACAATGAACCATGTCATGAAAACTTTGGGCAACAACTTCCAATAACCAAGTCAAAGCCCTTTGAACACCTTGGAAATGAACAATTGTTGCGTACAAATCGATAAAATTACTTTGTACTGGTTCGTTCTGTTTAGGAACTGCTCGTAGAACTATAAGTAGGTATGTTTTATTTGAAATTTGTAGGAAAAAATTTCTTCTATCTACCAAAAAACACTCAAATCCGATCTGTCTTCAAAGTTTGTATTTTTTTACTATAAATACGTTAAACTGTCCTATATTGTTAGTTATTTGATATCGTTGCTAATGAAGCTGGCAAGAATTAATAAAAATTGTCTGTACCTAATCAACACCTTTTACAGCTACTTGGAAGACCGGCAGAATACTGCTTTGTTTGACTTGTTTAATTCCAGCGTCATAAATCAAAATGCCAAATAATTTCTAGTGCTGTTCAAAATTCGGTGTGCTAAAGCTAAACTTTTGGCTCCGGTTCAATTATGTAAGTACGTAAGTTACAACAGACTTAAAGAACAGATTCATATTGTTTACATAAAACAACTGTATTAATATCCGTCTTTCTAACAAATTGTTGAAATATAAAATGTTACCTTCTTTGATTTTTTTCTAAGTAATTAATTTTGAAAATGATATAACCCTGAATGTGCCGTAAAATATCCTTCCAACCTTCATCCACCTGTGTTCGTTCCCAAATCTCGTTTTTGCTAAACGTAACATAATAGAGTCGTATTTCGACATGATCACATTACATCGGCGGCCACCTGGCTCGCGTAAATATATTATTACTTAAATAAATGCTAATGAACATAGCGTCAGTATGTTTGTCGTTTGCGTTTTGTTGTGCGCCAGACGTGGACCTTGTTTTCACGGTCCTGTACCAATGTTTCTGATGTATTGTTCCGTTCCTTGTACGTGGTTTGTATTACGTATGAAACAGAGATTTAAAACTGAAAATTCAACCTTTGTTGATAACCAATGACACCTTGAAAATGTACACAGTTGCAAAAATCAATTTATATGATAACTGAGAAGAAAAACATCGTACAATGTGGTTGTTACGTCACGCTAAGAGCCTGCAATTTCTCATTATCCGTAGCTTGTGACAAATATTTGCTTCAGATAATGCTTGGAGCATACGTTTACTTGACCTACATGTGCAGTCCTTGTGTTTATTAGGTATAGATGTGTAGTTGAGTATGAAAAAATGTAATTATGTGCCAGGTGGCTGCGCCCGCGTCGGTAGGGACATCTGTACGTACCAGGTTTGACCAGACAAACCAGTTGTTCAACAACTGCGAGACAGACGCAAGCTCCTTGTTATCGTAAACATGATATATGTTGTGACTTAATTGGTTAATATACAAAAGTCGTTAAATAAATAAATAACCACTTAGTATTACCATAATACTCAAAAACGATATACCGATTTGAAAGTTTTCTCTCTGATTATTTGGTTGAGTAGATACGTACCAACAAAGACAACTTTCTCTTGAACGTACAAGCTCACTTAAACAAAGCTTAATGTTAGGCCTTCGTTTTGGAACATTTTGAGTGCTTACCTACAGTTACTTTTATTTATAATATTTTACTATAATCCTTCTATGTCTCAGACATAATATGCTTGCTTCTTAAACATATAGGTAGGTACTTGCAGTGGTCAGTTCAGGTAAAACAGAAAGGTTTATAATGTACCTATTCAGAGGCAAAGACAACATCGAATCAGATACTTTAA